AAATAAGCATCTATGTAAGGTTCTATTTTTCCTTTTAATTTCTCGACGCACGAAGGGAGGGGGAATATCTGCGTAAAATCTGATTGTTGCTAAAGAGATTTCGCCGCGCGATTGATGGCGTTGCAAATTATTAATGAACAGAAGATTCATTTCGAATTCTTCAAATTTCGATAAAAATATTTCATAAGAATTTAAGCCGATAACGAATCTGTGCTGTCTTATTTTTAAGAAGACAATACCGTCATGTTATGAACATATGGGCAAAGATTATGTTCTTTGTTCTTCTTTTTGTCTTCTTGTCAAACAACCCCTTAGATAAACATGCTCTGGCAAGTTTTTTTAAAGCTATCGTCGATTTATTTTATCGAATGCGCGAGAATAAAATGAATATTATATATATAATACAATATTCTCTTAAAATTTATATTTTTATTTAAATTACTTGAACATTTTTACATTTATTTTAAAAATTTATATATATTTATATATAATATATTTATATTTATATATTTGAATATTAGTGTTAAATTCGCATATATTTTCAGTATTAATCTTATAAAAATAAAAAAATTCGAAAGTATTTAGTGCGAAATATACGTTTATTTGTAATCTAATGTAAATATATTTTTTTAAATTTAAATTTGATGACGCCATCGAAAGTTTTATAAAATTTTTGGAAGACAAAGAGATAATTCTTTACGCGCGCATATTCCTCCTTCATTCGAGCACAGTACCTTATTTCTTCGCGTCTGTCTTCTACACATTTGTTCGTAAGTTTACACTTTATACTTGAGCATCGCTGAATTATTTTCCGAAACTCTGGTCTGCTTTAATGGAACAATGATAGAAATACATATTATCGCGAGAAATAGAGAAAGAAAATGTGTGCTTTGATATTACGCGAGTTGTTTCTCTTAAAAGCGAATGTGAGCGCAATCTCGAAAAACTATAAATATAAATGTGAGACGCGGGAGCAAATTGACTTGTGCAATTTTTAAGGGAATTAAGCACTTTTGAAAGAAACACTTCGCGCATAATATGCAGTACATACATGTTGTATTTGCAAAAATATAAAAACCGATGGTATGATCCAACAGTGTAAGCATGTGCAATCTTAAAGAATAGTAATGTACGAATGATGTTATATGATTATTACAATCATATAATGATTTGAATGTTGCAAGAAACATTTGCATGAATAATGACATTATTTTTTTTGTCGATACAAGATGTATGTCTATATAAGATTGCGAGGAAATAACGGTGTCGACTCCGTTGTTTGAAAAGAGAATGTGAGAAAGAGAGAGAAAGAGAAAGAAAGGAGAAGATAAAGAACTGCGAATCTATTAGAGGAAGTTAATAATAGTTAATAAGAATATCGAGTCGCGATCTCTGTGATGATGATAACAACGTTGACGATGACAATGATAACGACGATGATTTTCCCCCCTTCGTGTTTCTCTGACAATTTCTGTCGTGGGCATGATGAGATGCAATTAACCCTCGAGGTTTCTAGAGTACATAAGATATAGAATCGTAATCTACTATGTAGTAATGTAAAAGAAAAAAACAAAAAGCTAATACTTTTAAGGTTTGACTGGAGCGTAATAGACATCATGTATTATATCGCAATTAAAGATTAAGCTATTTACACACGAGGAGGGATCATCGATCGACGATGATTGAGAAGATAGTAATATAGACGATGATACACATTTAAACAGATGTAAATAAGCGAAATAAAAACGCGAATGAGAGGGTGGATACCCTTGGAAACAGACAGAGAGGGAGATAATTATTTTGCTACGCGAGAAGAAAGGAAGACTTCCGGAAGCTGTGCAAGTGTAGTTTCCAATGGTTCCCGGTTCAAGGTTCAAGTATCATTGCGACCGATTGCAGAGATCGCTCTTAATCTTGCGCAAAATCTGCAAATACGCCAAGATAGAAGAAAAAAAGGAAATGCAAGAGATAGAAGAGGACGAAAAAGACAGGAAATGGAAAGAGGCAACGTGACGAAGGAAGAAAGGAAGAATGGAAAACTCGTCGTTACGCGCAAAGATGAGATCTATCGATCATCAGTCCATCTAATAACGATCCGATATTCGAGGTTTTGCATCCCCGACAATCCGTACCGGACAATTCTTGCGAGAAAGTTACTTCCGCGATACGCCTTCGCGAGGACAATACCGAGAGCTGCAAGAATCGTGGTTTTCAACAAAGAGCGAAAAATTATCTTCGATTTAAAAGTATTCCAGCCATTTATCTAGAACGAATAATTCACAGCCAAGAAACAAAACTTTACCTGTTATCAAGACAGGATGATTCAAGGGAGAAGAGGGGATGTTGAAGTTCGTGGCGATCGTCGTGATTGCGCGAGAGGCGAGGAAGGTCATGTGGATAATCAGCTGACGGTTACCTTTCGACGCGCATCCCATTGTTTTCGCCGCGAAACAACTATCTCGTGCTTGCGCGTTCGACGAGGAGAATGAGGAATTAGCAAGAGAGAGAGAGAGAGAGAGAGAGAGAAAGAAAAAAATAGAGTAAAAGGTTGAGATACTAATTTCGCTGTTGCGTTTTATCGAGTAGCTGTGCATCAGGAATCGTCATAACTTTCTTTGTCTTTATTCTTGACACATATAAGAAAAGATCGGATGGAGATTAAAAGAAGTAGAAGGTCGAGATGATCAAAGACAATCGAAGATGAAGATTGTGACGTTTGCAAGAGAACAATATGTAAGCACAATAAAGTTGGTGGCTTTCCGGAAGTTATTCGCTTAACACGCTCGGCAAGAGAGAAAGAGGAAGTCTTGCTTGTGAGCGTAACTGTTTATATCATATTTTGCTTTGCACGTTTATAATGCCAGTGCGTTTCTCGAGGAAGAAACAAAATGAGAAGTAGCAGAGATTCGACATAGAAGGAGTGACGCAGTGAAATGGAGAAGAAAGTGGAAAAAAGCAGGAGAAAGAGTAAGAAAAGGCAAGTTTTTCGGGTGTGAATGATTATCAAGATATGGAGCAAAGAACGGGGCAGCAAGTATATATGAAAAAAAGCTCTCCGTTCATTAGCAAAGCGATATCTTGAGTCTGAATGAATGAATTGAAGCGAATGTCAAGATTTCCAAGGAGAAAAATGGACCAGAAAATGTCTTTTTAAATACAAAAGGCACCAAAAAAAAATTATAAATGTGAAGGTGAAATCAGAGAGAGAAAGAGTGGGAGAGATTGCGCGTATGAATGCGCGAAAGATGCGGGGAACAAAAGGAAGAGATACGAAAGGGCTCTTTTGACGGAGAGAAGAAGCGGAAAAAATTGAGAGCCAAAGAGCAGTCGAGAAATTGGCGTGCAATAATATCCGGCAAATTGATTCCGGTCGATGATAACCAGAGAAACAAATGTGTTTCGATTCCTCGATCACGCAAAGAAACCCAAACGAAATCTTTATGCAACAGTCGAATAGGCGGAGTAAATTGTAGTGAGTTTTACTAGAACATTCCGTTCCCCGAGAATATATGATGACTTCCAAAGTATATTTCAGCACAGCATGATTATACATCTACTTATATGGGGACGGAGTTCATATATTTCGAAATGTTTATGTGAATCATGTGTAACACACATATTCATATCATTGTTAAACAAAAAGAGAAAAATGAGCGGGACAGAGAAAAGAAGCGCAAGTCAGGAAGATATCGAATGACGAAGATAGGAGAAACAGAGGAGAAGAGGAGACGAGTTGCGGACTCGTCTGACGAGTTTCGCGTAAAAAGGTGCTGTCGCTTTTAGAAGACATAATAAAAGAACCTTTGAAATTTGTACGCGTCGAAGAGAATGGAGCCAACATCTTTCAGTGAGAAGCGAAGAAGAAAATTATCAAGATGGAAAAAATTTTCAATTATCCCTTATTCATTCCTTATTGTTTCCTTCCTTAAAAAAAAAAAGAAAATTATTTTACATCAACAAAAGAAAATCGAGAAAAATCTTAATATGCAACTTTTGGCCATCTTCAAGATATTTCACGAGAGAATCACTTTTATATTTTTGTTTGCCTATCATTTCCCTTGCATTCCATTTTAAGCCGGATTCTCCCGCATAATCCTTTCATTTTTTAGGGTCCCCTTCCGGGGACCCGCAAATGCATCACAACATTGCTGCATTCTCGATTGAAGCAATAAACATACGCACAAATGTGCGATTAAGGCTCGGTTGCACCAACGTTATTTTAGCTTTAAGCGAGACTTAAATATATGCCTATCTTTATCTTTCTTTTTAAATAAATAAAGACAGACATATATTTAAGTTTCGCTTAAAACTAAAATAATGTTGGTGCAACTGGGCCTAAAACAAACTGTCCTTATCAGGACAAACTTCACAAAACTGTCCTTTTAAGGGCAAGGAACATGCAATATATAGAACTGTCCTTTTTAGGGCAAAATCTCATCGTACCTGAAATATAATATTTAATAAAAATATTTTTCCCTTATATATAATTTCCTATTAAATTATTTTTTTTCAGATCGCAGTTATATAATCGTATACATAGAGGTAATAGATTTATTTATATAATATTACATTTTAGTATATTTGTATGATACTATATTTTTCTCTATCAATTTTACAATTTTGCATTTTTTTAATAATCAAGTAGTTCAAATGTGAAGATAGATTATTAAAGTAATTTATATTCATTTCTCAATAAGATTACAAAGTGTATTTGTCAAAGATTATAAAGTGTATTTATTATTAAATTGTTTTAATAACTTATGTGAAATGAATGTGTGTGTCATATATATGTGTAATAATATTTCTCAATTTTTATCTTTGTTTCAGGAATGATCCTTGAATTTGGTGAATATTTTCAATCTAAAATAACGATGTCCTTGATCTGAGATAAACATTTCCAAGAATTATTATGCGTGTATCGTTTTATCTATCGAGGAATAAGAAACGCTAGTGAGGCATAAGCGTTATAAAGAGATAAAAAGTCAATGTTACAAATAGTTTATTTTTGCATTAAAACATGAGTATATATACATGTGCAATATAGAATATATGAAGTAGTGTCAGTCCATTCAGCAAATATTGCAAATAATCGGCATCGAACAAAGTTATGTTCAAAACAAGTGACGTGGAAATTTCCATATTTCAATGTTTGCATGAACATCTCCAACAGCCAAAATATCTCTAAAATAAGTAAAATATTAATTTTTATATTAATTTGTATGATGTATAATTTTTTATCAATATTTTTTAATCTCTCTCATTGGAACTATGAATATACTTGCGTTATATTATTATACAATTACATTTGATATGATAAATCAGAAAAAAAAACATTTTTTATATACAAATATGTACAAAAATAACAGTATAATTATTAACAATTTGTGCATTAAAATGTGAAAATCAATACATACATATTCCAACATAACCAAATAAAATAAAATATTCAAATTTTATTCTAGACCTTTTGGTATATTTTTAATTTATATATATAACTTTTGTACTGCCAATTTTTATAAATTTCAGCTAATCATGATCGATAATATATTTTTAATAAAGAACTAACAAAACATTTCTTTTTATAAAGGATATATATATATATATATATATATATATATATATATATATATATATATATAGTTTTTTAATATAAAAAAATCTAAAAAATATATATATTTTTAAAAAGAAAATTTTTATAAAGAAAAGATATATAAACAAGGTATAAATATTATCATATCTAAAATTAGAAAGAAAGAGAAAAAAGTTTTCGAACGATGAATCATCCGAATTTAATTATCTTGCGCGTACCTCTTAGAATTGACGCATAAGCTGCTGATGCATTGTTTACCAGTAATTTCGAATTTCGCACACGTCATGGGTTTAGCATCCGTGACGTTGTAAAATTTTATATACGCATCCGCTCCGTATGCCGCAAATATGTCTTGATTGCCAATCATCCATGTTAATCCCACAACTGTATTGTCCGCAGAAATGGTGTGCTGACTGACGTGCTACAAGTGCCGAAATTACAAAATGTATCAAATTAAAAAATTGAAATTAATATTAATAGATCTTAATTATATCCGTAAAAATGTATCATTCGTTAATTTTATATTTTTCTCGTATTTATTGTCAAAATATTTTAAAAACTTTTATCTTTGACCTTGAATGATAAATGAATCATTAAATGATTGAACATGTCACGTTTTGCAAACAATTGCACATCCTTACATGAATATTGCATCTACTAATATGTATAGTATATTTGTGTAAAAAAAAGTACATTCATATCACTATTCAAATACTTTTGTGTAAATGTATGTAATATTGGTGGAAAATGATTCATATTTTCAGTAAGAAATTTGGTAGATGTTTTTTTTTTTTTACTTTTTATGTAGAGAGTTATATGAACCGAATTTTTTAATATATACAATACATGACTCATTATTTTAAGCTGAAGTGTTTCCATTATTATCAAATTATTGATTAAAATTTGAAGTATAAATCTCCTTTAAAAAAATGCATGCATAAAGTATTATTCCTTATTTCTATAGGCCCAAGTCGTGATTATTGCTGCGGTGGGATTAAAAAAAAAACTGAAACATGAAGGAGGATTTACCTCGTCAAGATTATATATACGGATTTCTTTATCTGTAGTACTGCTGACAAATAAATTATGTAGCGGCGAGCACTTGATACAGGTAATGCCACCTAGGCATCTTTCATATTCATCGATTACGGGATCTATGAGTGTGGTATCTCCTAAAAGTAATAAAAATATATTTTATTTATAATAAAAATATTTTGTATTTAATAGATACAAACCTTCGATGGAAGTTACACTATCCAAACTACATTTATAGATTCCACCGCATAGCGTTCCAACGATAAATATACTGGGATGCGCTGGAGAAAAATCGAAACTCGTGATACACAATCCTGCTTCTGCAGCGCGCTCGCGAGTACCTCCGGCGCTGCGTGGCCTAGCACTTTCCACTGGATTACGTTCTTTGACTATCTTGAATCTAAAATACAATATACATTTATATAAAAAACTTTGTATCTAATTATATCGCGAAAAAAGAACGACAATAAGCAGTTAATAATACCGTTTATATAATTGGACGGTTGTAAAGTTGGCTGTCAATTTATGAATTAGTATATATCCATCTATACTCGAACTTAATAATAGAGCCACATCGTTCACTGATCTCGGTTTCCAATATACTTGAGATACATAATCACCATGTGTACATACATGTGTAGGTGTAATAGAATCATCATTTCTGAGATTCCAAACCAATACATCCCCTTAAGGAAAAAGATAAAAATTGTGTAAAAATTTATTAAATATAACATTTAAACTTTTGCTTAATTGTTTTCAATTCATTTGAAAAACTTACAATTAAACAATCCAGCTGCGAGAATAGAGGGCTCTGTTGGGTGATAACTTAATGTTAAAATACACCCATTTGTTTCTAATGTTTTGATAGGTGCATCAGTGAAATTATCCTCTATTGTCAAATTATATAATTGAATTGTGGAAAGATGATCACACCATGCTTCATGATAGATATGGCTAAGGCCTACTGCTAATGTACCGCCAACAGTGCTCCATGATAGGTCACTTATTTTGAGCTTGATAAATAAAATACTTTGCATTAAACAATGTATATCTATAATTATTCAATTTTATTAAAAAGGATATACCTGAGTATCTGATTCCTTCAACGCATTTATTTTTTTCAATATTTCTACATTAGCAGAGGAAGCTTCCGCAACATTAGGATTATAATCGTCAAAAGCATTGCTACCATAAGCTTCGTCAAGGACTTCGAGGACTCCTGGCGTAACTTTTTTTAAAAATTTTGCCAATTTGTCATAATCTACTTGTATATCTGTTTTTTGTTCCTTTATTGTTTGAATCTAAAAATGAAAAATAATGTTACATAAATAATTTCACAAAATGCAATAAAATAATATTTATCATGACAAAATTAATTATTTAAAATGAAGAATATTGAAATAATAATAAAAGTTATAATTTAAAAGTTTGATATATAAAATTAAATATATATATATTAGAAATGTCAAGAAACTTTTATAATATTTAACAATATTTTGTTCATGATCTTCATTCACAACATTTGATATCTATAAAGTTTTTTGTATTAAATACAAATAAATTAAATCAAACTCTGAAATTCATTCAAGTGTAGCATTTTTCATAATAAGGGATACCCCAATGCTCCTTGTATCTGTAGTTTGCGTATCATCAGCAGTATAAACTATTTCTGTGGTTTGAACATTTGCGGATGATTCCAATCTGGAAAACAATATATACGATGTGTTCTAATTATCAATTTAAATAAAAAAAGTGTTAAAATAATTTAAGTATATTATACAATTTAATAATACAATTGTAAAATAACATACTTTATTGTGGACAATTCCGAATTGAAACTCACAACGTCAAAGGATTTGGTACTAAACATTTTTCAATAGAATAAATCTTCTAACATTTGTCTTTTATTTTAAAAATTAAATGTATTTTTCACAATATATAAAAAACAAAGATACTTCAGATTACACTTTGCAATTGACTTAACCAGACTTTAACTATTTCAGACGCTGTGCACGAAACTATACAGTATATTTAAACAGATCAGCTGATCAGCTGAATACTGATTATAGATTTCTACAGCTGAATGATAGAGTTAGTCTCGCCATCTATGTATGAAAAATAATAACTATAAGGTACATGAAATTCTATTCTAAAAATGATATTTTTCTTTAGTAGATAACGTAGATTATGAAAAGTCCCGCAAATAATATATTTTTATGTGGCAAATATAATAAAATGTTTTGTTGATGTTTAAAAAAATTTAACTTTTTAAGTATTTATTAATTTTATCATATATATATATATATATATATATATATATATATATATATATATATATATCTTTACTTCTCTCGACCGATGAAAATAAAATATTCATTTGTTATGTATAATTAAGGATATTTACATGACACATATGTATGTACAGTGAGTATGAGACGCGGCTCTCTCACACGCACCAATCAGAAAATCACACATATATGCTGCGCAAAGCGTTTCGCGTTTTCGTTTCGGCATTAATGTATATACATTTATTACAGATAACCGACAGCTCCGTCAGTTTATATATGTATATAGTCTTTTGAAGCAGTAAGATCGCTAATGAATCTATTGGATTTAAACTTATATCTGGTTCAACAAGTACGGTAAGACTTTAAATCTACATAAACTACTGATATATCTCCTTTATTTTGAATGTACGCATACAAAAATGTTAAATAACGGGCACCTATTTTGTTTCTTAAAAGCGACATTTCTCTTTAATTTTCAAGAGACATATTTTTATATTGCAATTATTATTTTTATCTTCTGTAAATAATGTAGTTAAAATAAGAAAATAGAGGTATATTATAATAATTGGTATAATAGTTGGTAACACATATATATTTTATATAGAAAATATATAAAATCTAAGCCAAGTATTTGTAATTATTATATTATTATATGTATGTTTAATTCTACACCATAGCTGTAAAATTATTTCAAAAATATTTAATATTATCTATATTTTGTTTTCAAAATTTTTTTTATAATAAATGCCTAGAATTAATATTCTTCCTCAACATTACGTAAACAGAATATCTTAAATTATATATATAATGCGAATAAGGAACGAGCAAGAGATTGTGTTGATTAATATTTCGTTCGAAAAAATGCATATACTATAAGATGCAGATACTAATATCGTTACTTTTAGCTTTATTTTTACACATTTGGACCGAATTATTACATCAGTTAAGTTATAAATAAATTTGGTAGATGTTTATTATGTTTTGTTCGTTTTTAATACATCTCTCACTTAAGGTCAGGAGGAACATGTAAACTTTGAAAATAGCATAATGGTAAATCTACAAATAAAATCTTTGTTGAGAACATATTCCCTTATTTCTTATACATTTTAATGTTTCTATAAATTTATGTAAGGAAGAGAATAAAATTTTTAAAACTTGTTATATATATATATATATATATATATATATATATATATATAAAATTCCACAATATGAAATACACAGAAATATGTAATTACATTAGAAGAAATCTTAAACGTGGAATTGAATTTGAGATAAATAAATAGAAATTATATTTACTTTGATATATTTTCTTTGTTTGTTTTTTTCCGGAATCTAAATGTTCTATATTTCCATATTCATTTCCAAAAAAATATCTAATATAACGTTTCAATAAGTTTTTAAAGTTATTTTTATTAATGATTTATTTTTCATTTATCAAAAAACTTTTTTTTATTGAAAAACTATATTGTTTTAATCTTTCTTTAGATTAATCATATTTCTTGATGAAAATTAGTAAGTTCTCTTTTCACACAAAAATCGATTAAATTTACTCTTTCTAAATACCTTGTTTTTAATAAAGAAACATTTTTATAGATATCCAAGTGAAATTTAATATGACATTCTTAAAACTATTATTAAGTAGTAATCTGATATGCATTGCCGCAAAGGCAATAGCAATTCCTATTGATAAAATATCAGAAAGAACACGAAGCCATGCATTAATCGATCAATTATCAAATTATGTACTGCCGATACATTATAATGTGAAGTTAGAATTGAACGACGAATACCTCATTGGCGAATATGTAATTACTATTTATATTACTCATGTAACACAACAAATAAATTTCCATATGGATCTAATGAATACAAACAAGAATATGAGATTGATATTATATAACAATGAAGGGAATTATAAAATATCAACAAAGGATATTTTTAAAGATATTGTAATGCTCAAATTCAAGAATGTCTTGTTAATTGGAATGTATTATCTAAAGATAAATATTAAAATTCCAATTAGTATCGTAAGAAACTCTGTCGGATCTTCGTATATAAACAACGATGGAAATAAAGAGTAAATAGAAAAATTTACTGAAATATGAAAAACAAATTATATATTCATTAATTCTATGCTCACAATTTTACGTTTAAAATTAACCATTATTTAAAATATATCCTTAAAATTTTACAGGTGGTTAATCACAATAGGTGTTCATACAAGAAAACAGCAAATATTTCCATTTTGGAACAAGCCAGAATTAAAAACTACTTTTAATATTTCCATAATGCATCATAGAAAATACACAATTTTGTCGAATATACCAAAACAAAAATCTGAATTGATATTTAATGATACGAGAATATATTACGAGAATATTTTGATTTCTATGGATAATATAGCATTTGTAGTGTCGGAATTTCAGCATATCAACTTGACTGATGCTATTAGCATGTGGTGCAAGTCGCAAATGATACCACATGTAAATTTTGCGCTACGTGTTATTAAAAATGTTACTATGTATTTGGAAAATTATTGGCAAAATTCGGAGGGATTTTTTAAGTGGATCCTTGTTTCATCTGAAAAAAAAGTAGATCATGTCATAATTCCGAATTTACAAGATGAAGACAAACAGATTTTGGGATTCGTCTTTCACAGGTAATATAAGAAATATATATATATATATATATATATATATATATATATATATATATTCTCTTTAATAAGTTAATGTATTTAAAAAATTATATTATAAATAAAAAATTATATTATTTTCCGAAATTTTTCATACATTTATATAGAGTACATATTAATAAGAAAAATAATACATATAATGACTTTTAGAGAAGCAGACATCATGTACAATGAAGAAATAGATTCGTCCGAACGCAAAATGATAATTGCACCCTTAATAGCACGTAAGATAATACAAAAATATATTGGCAACCTGCTAGATCCATATAGGTTTCAATGGTTGAACGAAGGCTTTATTATATTTCAACAAGTATATATTATTGATGAGGTAATCGAATCTCTTAATTCTATTTAAATATGCAATCAAAATAATTAATAATACAACATAGTGTTGCATCCTCGCCATCATCCGGTATTGAGCTCGATGTCAATTGACGGGCCGATCGATGATATCGATCGGCCGCTTAGACAAAAGAACATCGCGATGGAAATTTAAAATAAGAAATAATAACAATTGAGATTGAGACTGGAATTTAGACTGTTTGTGCGCGTTGATTAATGTATTGTGTATTCTTGTATATCGTTTTAGTGTTGTGCATAAAGTTATTCTTGTTCTTAAGAAAGTGTCCATTTATTACATGTGCGCGAGTATAAGAGAATTACGGGTACGAAAAATTAATTTTCGATGAATCTGACGCACTATTATATGTATCCCCTCTTATTTGATACAAAATTCAAATTTATGTTATTCGTATTGTGTTACACATACACAGACTTTTAATCCTTAATTGTTAAAATTATTAAGAAAACGTTTTTTACTTACAAACGTATGATAAAATCTTATAAAAATATTTTCTATGTAATTATAACGACATTTAATTTTTTTTAAATATGACACACATTAAATATAGAAACATAGTTTGCTATAGTTTCAAACTTTATAATAAAATAATACAATCATATTGAGCAAGAATTGATTATGAATGTTTATATATGTGTCAACAGCTTTTTTTCTCAATTAATTTTTACTCGAATTAATTTTTAGATTGTGTCAGATTTCCGAATGATGGATTTGTTTATAGTTCAATTTCAACATGAATTACTCGATCTCAATACTTACATCGATATAAACCCTGTTATAAAATGTGATAATTATCCTGAAAATTATATATACAGTTTTCTTTCCCATATCAAAAGTACGTATATTATAATTTGCAAATATCAATATCACATAAGTATCAGAAAAATTAATTATATATAAATTTATTTTCGCAGTTTATTTGTTATTATTTTATTATAATATTTTATTATAATATTTTTAAATATATTATAAATCATTTTCCTTATTTGTATCATTATAGGTTCCATCATATGGCGCATGTTAGAACGAATATTGTCGCCTAATATATTTTCAAAAGGTATCAACATATATTTGAACATTCAGTGAGTATAATATATTGTAATATAATAATATACATCGTAGCAAAAGAGAAAATCGAAGTATATGATAAGTTTGACAATATGTTTTCTTTCCTTTATTGCTTAAAAGACATACATATTTGAAGAGTCTCAGATTTATGCTGTTATTTGTATTTATAAATATTTTTCGAGTGAATTTCAACTTGAGGTTTTCTTAAGAAATAAGATAAAGTGTGATCATTTCTAAATTACAAACTATATTAATCTTTTGCACTGGAGCCATCTCATGGGTTACCTACCAGCAATTATTAACAAAGTCTTTGGGTGCCTTCCGTTTCACGCATCGAGCGCATAGTTCGCAATCAGTGTGATGCGCGCATTAATATTGTTCCGTTTCTATTATAATACGTAAATCTAATCTTGGAAACGGAATGATTTTTGATGCGTTTAATGTGTTCCGCTTCTCAATTTGCTATCAGAGATTGTGTGAGCAAATACTGCTGGTTTCTATCAGCAATCTAACATCAAATTGCATCGCGTAGATCCTATTCGATTTCTGCTGCCAATCTGCTATAATAATTCTGTGCTAATCCTGCTTGGTTTCTGTTAGTGTCCTTCTGTTTGCTATCAAATTATCTCAGCAGATTTTTTAACATTTCTGTAAACATTATGCTGTCTGATATAACCGATTTTTGCATACAATTTGTGGTCTTTCTGCTGACAATAGTTAATAGCAGGCATTTGCAAAATCTGTTAAAATAGATTTGGCTGACTGGTATATATTAAGTTATAAGAATTATTATATATATGTATTAAAATTTTAAAAATTATAAAATGATATAATTTTGATATGTTATGATACGTTATAAAAATTATATATATATATATATATATATATATATATATATATTAAAATTATAAAATATATATTAAAATTTAAAAATTTCTATATATCTCTTTGTGAACTTTACATTATATAACATTAAAATACGTAAATAAGTTATGTAAATTGTGATTTTCCTTTTTGCTGATCAAATGTACATAGTACTCAACATTATTGTCATAATATTAAATCTTATAGATATACTGAGATGGGAAGAACTTCCGATAGTTTATGGATTTCTATCCAAAATGTCATAGATGAATTAGATGCCGAGTATCAGTTTAATGTAAGAAGCGCGGTAGATTCGTGGTCCATGCAGAGTTTTTCCGTATTGAAAGTGATGCGAAATTATTTAAGCAATGTTACAACTATATCGATACAATTTCGCAACAAGTTGGATGAAAAACAATATTACATACCTGTGACTTATACTACGGAATCGAAGCCTAATTTTACCATAACTTGGTCAAATATTCAATGGTTAACATCTTCCAATCCAAAAATTGAAATCCCTCTTAGAGAAGATCAATGGATAATTTTAAATTTACAACAAGCTGGTAAAAATTGAATGATAAACTTATATTTTTATTATCTATTTATGTTATGTGTATAATTTCAACATTATGATTGAATGAATTAAAATTAATTTAAACAAAATTTTTTGCAAATTATAGTTTACAAAATTATTAAAATTTGAGACTTTAATCAAAAATAATAAAAATAATAAAGAAACATATCAAATCTAATATATATGAATATATATGAATATGTATACATATATATATATATATATATATATATATACATATATGTATATACATATATATGTATGTATATACTTCAGCAATTGTAATATAGTTGAAATTTTTATTTCTTATTTCTTATATGCGTTTTTATACTTTTAAACAACAAAGATGAAAAATACACAAATCTGTAAAAATACAATAATATGTTATTTTTGAGATATTTTTAACATTTCGTAATATGTATTTAATTAATTAAATGTTTAATAAACAAAGCAATTAAATGTTTAATAAACAAAAGCAATTCGTTTTATAACAGGATACTATCGCGTCAATTATGACAACGAAAATTGGTTAAAAATTGCGCGATACTTAAATTCTGAAGAATATAGTAATATACATGTTCTCAATCGGGCGCAAATCATCGATGACGCATTCTATTTTGCGATAAAAAAAAGTATTAAATTCTCCTTATTTTGGGAACTCGCTATATATTTGCAAAAAGAAAAAGATTATATAGCATGGTATCCTATGATCAAAGCTTTGGAATTTATGTCGAATGCTTTCGCATTCTCAAAATTTTACTCTCAATTCCAGGTAAATATAATAATAAATTTTATGAAGAAATTTTCTAGTAAGCTAATGCAATATATAATACATACATATCATAATTTCATATATCATACATCATAAAATAATTCCTTAAAAATTAAATTCACTTTAAAAATTATAGTTAATTATAGATAATGGAAAAAATGAACTTAATTATATAGTTTCTTCTTCGTCAAAGCTCAAAAATTTAATTTTAAAAGATATTTATATAACTTTAAATTTAATAATTACATTTTATAGATTTTGGACGTTTGGTATTCTTATTTTTCAATAAAACTAATTATAGATTTCATATTATACATGATATAATTTATATTTAATTTTAAAATTATGGAACACAATAACAATTATTTTCATCATACTAATTTTCTTCCGATATAAAATATTTACGGTGATATTAAAATCTTTATAAAATATTTTGTAAAAATTGACTTGTACTTTTAATTTTGTTACATTGTATACAGCAGATTAATAATTAAGTCATTTGTAAACGTCTTTTATAAATAATGAAAATTTACAAATTTGCAATTTTTAATATTTGTGTGATAGGCATGATTTAAATTAAAATAATGGAAAAAAGAAGATTATATATCAAATTTATCGATTAACACATCAATGAGATACGTATATAGAGCGATATACATATTAATAATGCATGTATTTGGATGATATAAAATATGTATACAATTATTCAAATAAATGATCGGTAAATTTGAAAATCGTTGACGTGTACTTTTAATTTTATTACATTGTATACAGCAGATTAATAATTAAGCCATTTGTAAACATCTGTTTTATTAATAATGAAAATTTACAAATTTGCAATTTTTAATATTTGTGTGATAGACATTATTTAAATTAAAATAATGGAAAAAAGAAGATTATATATCAAATTTATCGATTAACACATCAATGAGATACGTATATAGAGCGATATACATATTAATAATGCATGTATTTGGATGATATAAAATATGTATACAATTATTCAAATAAATGATCGGTAAATTTGAAAATCGTAGTAATTTATGCTATAAAATTTCATATACATATTGAAACAAAATTGTCTAGTAAAAATACACTTGTATGCATTAACCATTCTTGTAAATATAAAAGAATTAAATAAAAAATGCTATCTTTATCAAATTTTAGAAAATAAAAGAGCCACTTAATGCAATAAACTTGTTCGATGAAGATACCAATGATGATCATGTTAATTGTTTAAAACTAGAACTCGCAAAATGGAAATGTATCATAAATGATACGTCGTGCACAACATGGGCCAATCATCAATTACAATGGCATTTGAAAAATCCCGAAGAAAACAAGTAATTATTTTATAATACTTGATTCTTTATTGAGATATATTTTATATTGTGAATATATGTTTGAGAAATTAATTATCATGTTTACGTTCATTATTTATGTAACACTAAAACAATTAGTACAATTTCATTGAAAGATTCTTACTTCTCTTCTGGACTCTTACTGTCTTCTATAGACTTTTGCCTGGATGGAAGAGGTGGACATATTGTAATGGTTTGAAAACGGCAAATCGTGATACATGGGATGAAGCCTTTAAAATTGTAGATGAAACTGATCACATAATTTTAGAATGTCTTGCTTACATTGAAAATAATTCTGAAATCATAATTGATTATTTAGAGAGAATAACAGCTTTATACATTTCTTCTAATTTAACTCATCATCAATCCATTTCAATAAAGCAACCTGAAACTTTAGCTAATATTATTTTTTTGACTCTTGCCAGAAATACTAAGCATATGCTTGAAGACGTATTAAATATTTTGAAAAAAATTATATATAGGTAAAAATTGTTTTACAAAAATATATAGATATGAAAATTTATTGTTCGCATTAATTAGGAATGTACCGTTTTATTTTTTATAGACGTATCAATCAGGTTGCGGCAATAACTGTTATAATTAACAATGTGTATTCTGAAGAACAGTTGAACAAGGTACTTTTAATTAATTAAAGTTATATATTTATTTGTTAAATTTATAATTATGCGCACACATTACGGACGATTTCAATGATCTTGATATATGTTGTCCTGAGTAAGTATCAAAAGGTTTTAAATGTCGTTCATTGTTTATTAAAAAGTTATAAACATAAAAAAAGTTCTACAAATTTTATATTTATAATTTTCGGACACCTTGTATGTTTTACAAAATGAATCCACCAGATTTATATATTTATATGTAGTAAAAATGTATGAATCTGGTGGATTCATTTTGTAAAACGTACACGATGTTCGAAAATTATAAATATAAAATTTATAATAGTATAAATTTATAATTAGTACATATGAAACGCGTCGGCGGGGAGGGGTCTGTTCTTCCCCTACGCGCTGCATCCTAAAAATACTTCTATTTTGTACAATACAAAAACACGATGCAATTTGAGAGTTATATAAGGAATTTCAAAACCCAATTTTAATTGTAAATAAAAAATAGGTTTTGGTTAGATTATATCTTCCAGAAGTGGTGTCATCCCGCAGGGACGGAGGGGGGATGGAACTTACTGCGTTTATGCACGTACTTTGTAAGACGAAGCGAAGTGTGTTCTACATTTAATCATAGCCTTCGCTTCGTCTTGCAAAGTACATGTATGGACACAGTGATTTCCAACCCCCTCCCACTACGATTTCACTCTACTTCGGGAAGCTATAACCTAACCCAAACCTATTTTATATTTACAATTAAAATTTGATTCGGGTTATGTTGAATATTCTTCTTTGAACGTACATGTCGTAAAATTATGTTCTATTCATTAAACTTTTTCGTTAATAACTTTTTATTTGAGCAATGAGCGATTTTTAAAATCTTTTGATACTCAGAATAGTGATCTTACAACGTCAGTGTCATTGAAATCGGTGAAGTCATCTATAATATACACTGAAATTTTTGTTAGAGAATTTATTTTTTATTATACATGTGTATATACGTGTTTCAAGATTGATACAAACTTTTATGATAGAGATTAAATGTGAGCATCTTTAAATAATAAACTTATGTTCATAATTTCAATGCGATCCAAAAATAATTCTTTCGTACAATCTAGAACCTTGATAGAGATGCTAGATCTTTGATGAAATCATTGACAGAATCAAAAACATTGTCCAACGTTGTCGTTCATGTAACAACACATTAATTCATTTTCAGCAACTGTTGTATTATTTTTTAAAATAAAACAAAACAATTAAAATATAATTATGATAAAAGACACCTCTCATGCACTTTCTCTGTCGCTTAATCAATAAGGATAGGAGAAAAAGCTTCGCGAGCTAGTCCATAGCTCTAGTATACATCTACAACACAGTAGTGTTAAGTAGGTTGTCTTCGTCAAAGTTCTAGACTGAAAATATTATTTATTTGTTATCGTATTGAAACTGAATGGATTTGCAAACATAAGTTTATTGTCAAAAAATATTCAATTTTAGCTCCTATATCTAACATAGAAGCTGATAACAGAGATCATAAAACACTTTATGTATATATACATATATATATATATATATATATATATATAATTATATATAATTATATATTATTATATTATATATTATATATATATGTATAATTGTATATTATTATATTATATATATATATATATATATATATATATGTATATTTATATGTAATTTATTTATATATAAATATATATGTATATATAATCTTTCCCGAGTATAAAAGTATTATTCTATAAAGAATATATATTTTATTTTATGTATAATTTTGTTAATAATGAGGTTCTGATTACATAATAATACTACAATTACGAAATTATTTATAGATGACAACTATTAAAATAACTTTTTTTAGATAAAAAAATTCATTATAAAAGAGATTGAAGCACCAGTTTTTTCCAATTTTGAACGCAAGATAAAAACACGCTGGTCACAGATTAAAAAGCAGACAAAATATCTTCAATCTGTATTCCTCGATTAAAAATATAAAAATCTATAATGCGTCCAACTGTTTCAAAATCAAAAACAGCACAAATGTTTGAGACAAGATATATAAATTGACATACGTAATTAATCAATTAATAATTACTTTTATATAATTGTCAATAATTTTTTTAATTGTTTTTAATTAACTTTGTGAGTAATTTTATATTGTAATTATTACATTATTTAATTTAATTTAATATTGTAAGTAATTTTTACATTATACATTGGCTTTCTTTGTAATGCAGATTTAATATTTATAGATATAGTTAATTAAATTTACGTAATACTTATTATATATGCAAGTACATATGTATACACTTATAATACTAATTAATTACTTTTAAATAGACAACTTTTTACTTACACATATATTAAAATTCAACTTTATGTATGTAATTTATATCAAGCGTATTAATTAAATATATCAAGTATGTATTAAACTTAAAATATAGACGAAATATGGACAAAATATAGACGAAATATAAAACTTAATATTTTTATGTATGTCATTATTAATATTTACTATATTAATTTTTTTAATTTAATTCAAGAATAAGAAGTAGACAAATTATGCTTTGCAATTTTCCGATTTTCCGATCTTTAAATCTATAAATTTTAATCTTCAATTAAAATGAATCAAATAAAAACATTTACAACGAATATTCTTTATATCTCTGAAATAAGGAAATTAACAAGAAATGAAGAAGTAAATATTAAGGTTTCTTTAATTTTTTTTATTTGTCTAGAAACACTGCCAAACAAGTACAACGTCAATACATTTTAACAGATCTGTTTTTTGCTTATAAAATTAAAATAAAAAATGACATAAAATAAAAAAAAGGGGTTTATAAAATTCTCAAAAATGAGAATCTATGTCTTGGTAAATGCACCAAGTAAAATATAAATATAATATAAATATAAGTATACCATATGTATATGCCTTGTGCATGTTTAAATTTTCCCGAACAATTAATCTTTAAGAAAAAAATTATTAAAAATGTCAGACTCACGAATATAAAATTAAATATATAAATTAGTACAAATAGCAATATGAGTCTAGTGTCGATATTGTTACACCATTATTTATTATATAAAGAAACAATCATATAAAAACATACATTTTCAATTAATTTTAACTTTTTCTACATTCAGTTCATGTTATTTATTTCAATTTATGCTGTTACTTGACTTAATGTTTTAACTTCTTGACTTTTCAATTTATTCTATTTATTTATCATAAGTTATTTATTTAAGTCATTAGCATAAGTTGATCATAAGTTATTTATTTAAGTCATTATATCAATTTAATTTGTTGTTCGGTTTGATATAACTTATTGAAAGATTCGGACTGATTAAATTGCAGACATCGTCAAAATGACAATGAGATACCGCATCATTCAGCTGCAACGTATTTTTAGTTCTGTACACTTAACTCCAATTACTGTATTATTATTATTTACAATTACTGCATTATTATTATTTATTCCGTTTATATTTGCGCTGAAGATGACCTAAAAATAGGGTCGAAACGTTCACAATCCACTCATATGTATATGTATTTATTAAATGAATGTTTTTATATGATTGTTTCTTTATATAATAAATAACGGTGTAATAATATCGACAGTAGACTCATATTGCCATTTGTACCAATTTATATATTTAATTTTAAGAAAAAAATTTATATACTACCATCCGTGATGGCTCATAATCGCTAGTTCTTGAGTGATGTTAATACATAAAGAGCCTAATTCTTTATCAATTTATAAAATAGAATTAATTTTTTCACATACATTAAAAGCAATTAATTTTTATTCCATACTCCAAATAAGGATTATCTTGTTTTTATAATTTATCAGTGTAATCTCTATAATAAAGAAATATATATAATCAGATGGTTTTGTAATCCGCAATTGAACATCTTGAATTAGAGAAATGGTATTAGACATTGCCGCAAAAAAACATAACGAAGAATGTGTCATTTTTGAGATTGATGAATATATTAATGTATAAGACAAGGATTTCAACTATAACATTAAAATTTTGAATGTCGTTCATTTTTCGAACCTGCAAAAAATATTAATGTACAATCTCAACTTGTTTCTCATGATTTTATGTATGAATGATCTTGGATCCATAATCCATGATAGAATCCAATAAATTAAAATGCTCGGAAACTTTATTCGACGATACCATACACATATCTCCTATTACGATATTTTGTTTTTGTTACTTTTGATATTTGTCAGTTCTCATGATATATTCTTCGTTTTTTAATACAAGATAATAGTAAACTCATTCGTAATATTAATATAATTTTTGTTACTTTTCTCTTATATAGTCAATAAATGATCGTAACACTAGTACAAATTTATTGATGTTTACGAAGGCTATTTTGAAAATTCATAATACATATTTCGGATTCAATACTGAGCAGAAAAATAACAGCAATAAATATACATACTATTACGCCCGCGGCGAGGACTTCGACATATATCTAAGGCGCGCGGTAAGGAAATCGGCCGCTCACGCAATCAACGGGATCCGGACAATGGCAAGGCCGTAACGACTCGGGCGCGCACGTAACAATACATATGCAATTCCAAATACAGTCAAACCTGGTTAAATGAGATGGCAAGGGACAGCTCATTTGATCCCACTTTAAAGAGGTATTTCACTTACCCAATTTCTCAATTATCCAGGTTTGATACGCGTATATCTCACTTATAGAGGTAATTATTAAATAAAAATACGTACATAAATTAAGTATTCAAATAAACTTTATTATGTAAATAAGCATTATGTCATTACACATGTAAAAAAATATACAATGTAATGCATTGTAAAAAAATTTGATTTAAAAAGTATCTGTCATTTTCGATAACGCCATACACAACGTTGCAACGTAAAAACGATAATAATCTTAGTTAGAGAGGTTTTCTATGGGGTTGTCTCAGTTATAGAAGTAATAATTGCTATGAATTGCTAAATATCAGTCTCAATTAAAGAGATTGGGCATTCCTACTTACGGAGATTTTTTTACGCAAAAATGTTGGGATCTCAGAAATAGTCTCAGTAATAGAGGTTTCCCTCTTATCTAGGTCCCATTTAACCAGGTTTAATTGTATATTCTAGATATGTTAAAGTCAAGTAAGTTTTTTATCTCTATTGAATAATATTGTTATTTCATGAAAAATTTTTACATTAATATTATGTCCAAAAAGTTATATTATTTTAGTACATTATGAAAATAGTATTTTCTTTTTCTCTATTCTTAACAATCACATTTTTGTCAAACATTTTTTGCTATAAATATAATATTTTTTTAAATATATATCTTGTGTACAGAAAATATTATTTATATATAATAAATAAATATTAATCATATACAATCTTATTTTAAATTATTAGTCATAATTACACTTGTGTTTAAGAATTAATTTAATCTTATATCTGAATGTTATCTGAATGCTATTGTTATTTAATCTTATATCTGAATGTTATATATCATCAGGTCAAGTGATTAAAAAATGTGAAACTGTTTCGCCACAATGTATTTCTTTCTGAGCAATTCATTTATTGCAATATTTTTGATTATACTTCAATTGATAAAACATTACATATTAATTACAAATACCGCGCTCGCAGAATAATCCGTTTGCGCAAGGACATAAAATGAAATTAGCATTTCTAATTTCTAATTGCAAATTATTCGGGTAAGTAAGATTAGCCGTAATAGTATCAGCATTTACTCGACATTGTTCGCCCTTCTGTTGAAACGGCATACAGGTTGGTATCGCGTACCTCGTAGGCCCTAAAAATACATCAGTAACATTGAATACAATACTATCAAGATCTTGAAGATGTCAATCCTTAAGTATACACACACACATATATATGTATGTATATATATAAGACTTATGAATTTTCAATTATTATAATCTTTTTGGTTAGCTAGTTTATATTGATAGAATGTAGTATAGATTAGCATAAAAAATATTTACAAATGTGAAAAGTTTCTTTTGGTATGGGAAAAAAAGAGACACAAACCTAATAAACAGCAAAGATTTGATGAACATTCCAAATCGGTTTTACAATTTTTAAAAGAATTGAAAGGAAAAGCCGGAACTATCCCTGCTAAGGTGATGAGTAAAAGTACATTTGACATCAGCGACATAATTGCTTGATAAGCTGTAAAAAATGGAAAGTTATAATGAAATAGTCCTTCAAAATAAATTTAGAAAGGAAATACAAGAGAAAGAGAAATGTTTATCAATCATTGTATTATCTATTGCAATATACTATCAATATTTAATAATAAATATAATAGTAAAATATAAAATGTAATAATTTAAATAAGCATTTATAATAAAAATAATAAAATTTCATTGCATTTTTATGTTTTTATATAATGATTACTGCCGTTCCAGAAATAAATATCCGAAAATGTAATGCGCATACAACGCTTAGGTCGAACTTATATCTATTGTATTAATCTGATTTAGATGTTACTCATAGTACGCGTGATCATGAAATTCTACATGTACTTTTCTGTACAGCATTGTCATTTCTGATTAATGACACAGTTATTTACCATTCAATAAACAGATAAAGTATAATACTATATTACAAATAGAAACTTTCTGTTTGCTAATACAAGTAGTTTGTTTTGCAATCAATAATTTTTATGAAATAAAGAAAACTTAAAAATAACTTGAAAACGTTATTTATAAATAAGTTAGATAATAATTTTTATATAAAGATCTCTTTATTAAATTTTGTTATTCACGTATTAAATACACACATATTAGTATTCACATATTAAATGCGAAATTATTATATTACCAAATTAAATTAAATTAAAAGAGATCAGAGAGATTTTTAAAAAATTGGTGACGGTATTAGATAAAAATTCTTTCATAAAATTTTTTCCCACATTTTTATAAAAATCGGTTGTGATTTTTCACTATACGTATTCATGAATTTTCGATTGCACTGTTTGTATTATCGTAAAACAGGAATATTGTCCACCAGTCCTCTCAGATATGAAAATGAATACGAACATATTATATACGAACCTGCTGTTATTTCACGGTCTACACTTGTCGCGCACTGCACGGTATATGATCTCACGAACTGATGAACGCATTGTTTTATACTTCTAGCTCCGCATTCAAATTATTAAGGATGCATTATCGCTGAGACATTAAGTTGATCGCAGTGACTAACTTAAAATTTTTGAAATTTTATTGTTATCGGCGATATACCTTGATAAAATAATATTTATTTTCTAGATAGTTTGTTGTGAAAAAAGAGAGCAAATAACACAAGAAATTAAGCAAATGTGTAAAAAGATGGTAAGCAATAAAATTAGTCATTCTTAAGAAGATAGGTAAGGATCTTTAAAAGTTTTTTACATTATTGTGACGTTTTTTCCTGTTTTTTATCCTCTCTCTCTCTCTCTCTCTCTCTTTCTCTCTGCGATTTTTCTAATAAATTATTATTAATAAAACTGCAATAATTATAATATTTTTGCGTTATATGGAAAAATATATAAAAATATATTAAAAAGAGAAAATTATGCATCCTGTCCACATCTACCGGCACTAATTTAAAGAATGTTTACATTTCAAATTAAAAGTTTGCTTGACAAATTATTGGAAATAAATTAAACAACGTATATTCGCTTTATTTATAACAATTTTTAGAAATTGCTAATATAAAAATAATATCACTATATATATATATATATATATATATATATATATATATATATATGTGGGTGAGTGTGAGATTATATATTTTTTTAATTAAGATAAATTATTTGTCGTTAATTTTTATAAAGCTAAACGCTAAAACGCTAAACGCTAAAAGCTAAAACGTGTATGAGAAACAATTACCAGAAATGAATATATTTTTATACTGATTACAAATATAAATGTATTAACAACTCTTTATTAATTTATGTCATGGCTACAAATGATGACATATTTCTAGAAGGTAAATGATTATTCGATCATCGATTGAGATAATATTTTTTTTCAACAACTGCGTCATTATTAATATAGACATATTTAACAATAGAGTAGTAATTGGACAATTCAAACCTGTTTAAAAACATGCACATACACACACACACACACACACACACACACACACACACACACACACACATACACATTGGAAGATTATACGTTGACTATTACGTAATCAAGGATTCGGAATTTCCTACATGCAAATAAGTTCATTAATGCATAGAAAATGTGTTTCTGGGAAATTACGATCTACTGTGTAAGTAATTTTTGCAACATAAATTAACCAACATTTTATTGTTCAAAATTATTTGTAATTATAATTTGCCCAGTTAGCCAAGTCTATTCTAACAGATTTTACCAAGTATCTGCTACAAATTGTCAGCAGAAGAATTGCAGATTATATGTAAAATCTGTTACATCAGACAACAATGACAAAATGTTTAGCAAAAATGTTACAAAATCTACCGACACAATTTGATATCAGATTGTCGACAAGAATCGAGCAGAATCTGTGCATACAACCTGATAGTGGATTAACGGCAAAAGTGGAATAGAGTTTGCATTATCTGATGCGGCAAATTTACAGCAGAATTTGCATATATTTGATTCGATACTTCTTTCCTCTGCTATACGATCTATTTTCTCGCAATCTAATTTCTGTCAGAAATAAAGTCGCGATTATTAATGCAATAAAAAACATAGTAACTATTTTTATTATTTCAATTTCTGACATCTGATACAATACATATAAGATTCAGAATATTAAACTGATTGAAATCAACAGAATAAATAGAAAATTATTTATTTATTAAAATTTATTAAATATTTGAAGCATTTAATAATAAATACCGCATAAATTGCAAATTGAAGCATAAACAAGAATTAAATAATAAATACCCAAAAATAGGATTGAAACGTTCGCTATTCCTTCGTTTAATTTTATTTTTATTTGTTTTATGCTTTTTTTGTATAATAAATGAATAAATGTGTTATAACATCAACACTCGACTCGTATTGCTATTGAAACTAATTTGTTAATTTTATATTTCGAATCTTATACCTTTATTATTTGTAAATAAATTATATATCTCAAGTTTTATAAATTAAATTTAATTATTTTCATCATTTATTTTACTATCAATTTAATTAAATTGAACTAAATAATATTAGAAGAAAATTGTAAATCAAACCGATAACTTATCAATAGCACTTATTTAGCAATCCGCAAGCAAATGTTAACTGGGTATATATTATTAATTATATTATCGCCATTTGTTTATCATATATAACGTGTTCATATAATATATTCCCAAAGTGTACTATTATTTATTTTTATTAATTAGACATAAAGATATTTCATAATTTTCTTTCTTTTTCTAGACCTGAAAAAAAGTCCATTTTGATTATATACAATAAATCTTTTTCCTCGGACCTGAAAGTTATCAATTGACTAAATATAAACTACGCAATGCATTATTACTATTATTGTTTGTATCTGCATGTATAACAATAAATTGTACAAGACCAAATGCTAAAAAAAATACATCATATTATAAAATATTTATCCCTTGCGTAATTACGTAACAGAATTGTGACAGAATTATTACTATATATTATAAATTAATAAATTATAATTAATAATAAATTGACATGTTTGCATGCATTCAAAAAAATAAAAAAATTTACTCGATTTATATCATGTGCGATCAACACATGGTAATATCCTTTAGTCTTCCTTTAGTATTCTTCTAGATATTCTAGATGACACTATATGTTCTGTTTTTCACGCTGCGCAGGTACAGAATTACAGAACGACAATAACTGGAAATAATCTCATGTCGTATGCGAGACAATTTGATGCATGCGTTCGGTATTATGTGGTCGCCAGGCTATAACTATTTATAAAACTAGCTCGCGAACGAAGTATGCCCTTTAAGATGGTAGAACAAACATTACTCGCGACTAATCGGATATATTTCTTCGTTGTATCATTTAGAATCTGTTAAAATTTTTTTTTAAATATTGTTTCTCCAATGAACCAGTCTCGTTGGTGAGAATTTGGCGACAACTATCCAACAACAAATATCCAATTAAATATGGTAATCTTAACAGATCTAGAATAATCTATCTACAAAAATATGTTCATGTGAAAATATTGTATATTTGTATATATTTCTTAATATGCTCCTTGTCATGTTTGATTTTTTTCCTCCATATATAATAGCAGTGCTACATATGATATATTTGCATATTTCTTTCAGGCTCTTTTAGGAGCGCAATTGGCTATCACTCTTGTAATGGTCAGTGTCATACAAAAGTTAAGTCCACACTTTTCTTTCGCAAGATGGATTTTATGTTCTACTGGGTATGCATATGTGGATACTTACAAAAAGCAATATTACAAATATGATAGTAAAATGATAAAGTGATTTGTCATTTTTTTTTTCATTTGCACAGATTGATACGATATCTGTATCCGACAGATCAACAACTTAGAGCATTGGCTGGTGTACCAAAGGAGAAACCAAAGAGAGGAAAACACAGTGAAAATGGCAAAGTGGGAGATGTTTTTCATGTTCCTAGAAATCTGGACATTCAGCTTGAAAGTGCAAAAGTGACTATGCTTGATGTTGTGCACTTAAAATATTATGCGGAATATCAGTGGCTATTGGATTTCTCTGTATATACTACTATTGTTTATGTGTTGACAGAGGTTAGCATACTCTACAATTATTACTTATTTAATATATAGATAGCTATGTATAAATATCTTTCTCTATATAATTAGTTAATGTTATATTTATAACTCATATGATGTATATTTTGTAATATTATCTAAATTCTTTCTTTTATTGTTTAACAGGCATACAATTATTTGTATCCTCTCAAAGATGAGATTAATCTCAGTGTATTGTGGTGTTTGGTAGTTCTGGGTTTTGCATTGTATCCTTCAAATTAAAATTTCTATTAGATCTCAAATGTTTCATGTTTTTTGGAAGAAAGATAAAAAATTATATTACAAGAGAGAGAGGAAGAAAATATATACAGCTTTGTTTTCCTTACATAATTTTATAGTAAAGTGCTACTTTCCCTTTGGGTACAATATTTCAAGGGAGAAGAAAGTGTAGGTGAAAGATCTACATGTATTGTTACTGGATTTGCGTATCTTCTCATTGCTATGATGGTGCTTATAGTTGATGAAAATAAGTTGGAAATTGGCTTGGAAAAGGCATATACAAGTTTTAATCATAGCGCTTCTCAGTTTTTAGATACTCAAGGACTTTCTTCCACGTGAGTTGATCACATAATTCATCATTATTCTAATTATTCTTAAATCTGTTGCATGCTTTATTAGCTACTTATAAATAGGATATTTTAGTAACCGACTTTTATTTTTCATATAATTAAATATCTATTTTTTAGATAATTAAAAGCTTAATACAATATAAAATAATACATAGCTTAATATAATTTTCTATTTATTAACTTATTTAATAAGAATAAATTGTTTGATTTTTTAAATATAATGTTATATAATAAATATTATATTTAATAAAATATTTATATTTAAATAGGGGGCCAGCTTCAAAAATAGTTTTAAAGTTCTTCCTTGCTATATGGTGTGGTCTGTTAGGATCGTTATTCACTTTCCCAGGATTAAGAGTATCGAAGATGCATTGGGATATATTGAGGTTACACAATAACTTTATTAACTTAATAAATATTAAATGCTGATTATTTATTATATATAAAAATAATTGCAGGTATTATAAAGACAACAAATTATTATTATTGATAGCAAATATCAGCTATGTTTCACCATTGCTACTTGTGAGCCTATGGATTACACCTATTAGCAGAGATTATTTAACTGTTCGAATATTTAGTGGTATGACTAGTCCATTGTAAGTCAACATATATTGTAAGCAAATTAAATAAATATGAAAAAAATAATTAAAAATTTTTATTATAGAATGACAGCTACAAGCTTTGATAGCATGAGATTGATTATTATTATCATTGCTGTTTTATTAAAGATTGTACTCATGCCAATATATTTGCAATCTTACTTAAATCTCGCCATTCAAAGATTAGAAGTTCAGAAAAAAGAGGCTGGTAGAATAACTAATGTTGATTTACAGAAAAAGGTGCGTCATAGTAATTTTATAATAATCATATAATAAAAATAATAATTATATTAACTTAAAATTTTATAATATTATATAATAAAAATAATAATTATATTAACTTAAAAAAGATTTTTCTCTCTTATAAATATTTAATGAAGAATCTTTATTTTATACTACAGATTGCAGCTGTATATTATTATCTATGTGTAGTTGCACTACAATTTGTAATTCCCATAATTATGTGTCTATTTTTTACATTTTTGTACAAAACACTCGGTAAGAAAAAATATTTTTTATAAAATATATAATTTACAATGCTTATTACATCTATATTTAATATCTCTGTATTTATTTATAATTACATCTGTTATCTATAATTATATCTATTTATAATTACATTTCTTGTTAAATCAGGTGGTTTTACTTGGGAAGGTATCTTAAAAGGGACATTAGAGGAAGAATGTCCAGCAGATGAATTACCAAAGTCAGTCTCATCTACAATTAACAATGATAATACTGATAAGACTATTGTACAAACTGCTGAAGAATTTCAACTTGCACTAGGTTCACTGAAACAGGTGATGTGTCACAATATATTTATGAGAAAAATATTAATGAGATAATATGGTTTTTAAAAACACAAATAAAATCTATCGTATTTTATAATGTAAAATCTAATATTTTATAATATAAAATATTAGATATAAAAATCTAATATTTTATAATATAAAATATTTTATAATGTAAAATCTATCGTATTTTATAATGTAAAAAAATATATTCTTTTTATTACAGATCTTTACCATAGATGTTTATAGAGGTATCTTAGGATTGGCAACATGGTGGAGTTGTTTTGCATTATTTGCAACTAGTGCTATGGGCATGTTTTATCAATCATATTTCTCCAACATATGAAGATATGTCTCTATTAAGAGAAGAGCAAGCATCGCACAAATGTCCATTAATTTACAAATCAGTCATTTATTAGAATCATAGCATTGGCCATTAAGATACATATTTTCAGACTACCTATTTTAACATATGCCTATTGTCAAATAATTAGAATGACAGTTATGACATATAATGTAAGATTTTGTAATACATATGGCAATAAATATAACACTGCAGTTGTATTATAAGTGAAGATCATCTTTAAATTTCGGTCGTATTGAAAATATTATTAGTTTACGTTATTCATAGATAAAAGTAATAATGATATTCATGTAATATTATTCATGAATGTTTTTTATAATACAAACAATTAAAGAAATAAAACCGTTAACAGCGAAATACTTACATTTCACAATCGTCTACTCGATTGCAATTAATACTCATCGTACGACTACGTAGTTGTCGCATTAGGCATTCCGAAAGTAGCTTTCTCTCTTATCAGTGATCTTAATCTTAATAAAAATAATTTTTGAACTTAACATTCCTCTTTCCGCTTATAATATAAAAATGATATTCTGTTAATCAAAGTTTTTGTCATTTTATGATTTTTATCTGTCATGTTGTAAGAAAAACTATTATTTATTATCTGATTATGATTCGCGAATTGTTTAATATAGATATCCTGGAGAAAGTGTCCGCTACAATGATATCGATCGGATGCTACTCACGTATTATGCCAATTGCTTCCGTGGTATATAGCTCCCCACAGAATTTCTTGGCGTCGTAATACCATCGTGATTTTCACCGACGATAATACTGTGCTTCTATTATTCGAATATCACATTGGCAAATAATTTGTGTAATTTTCCATAATGTTGGTGAGTAAGAAACAGTAGATTAGAACAGCTAATGTAGAAAATACTTAAGAATATTGATTCGCAACGTGAATTAAATATATTTAAATATTAACTCTGTATTCCATAATTTTTATAACAGACTTTAATAATTTTATAGTCAGTTTTTAATCATTTATAAAATGTTGCTGCTTTTTATCAATTGAATTAATAAAAATAACTAATATATTAAAGTATAATATATATATGTGCAATTTAATTTAATTAAATTGACATTTTCTTAATAATAATTGGTAAGAAAGTCGATGCTTTCTCTCTTTTACACAAGTTACTCTTTCAAGATTTTATAATTGGCCATTACATTCAACATTAAAGAATAATTAAATATCGTATTTATATTCCTATGTCGCAATTATCTCGGTTGAGTTTACATTATTTGATTGATTGATTTACTTTAAATTGTAACTTGCAGAAATACGCTATTGTCGTCAGTGCATTGTGTTACCTCGTCATAGCTGAGCCACCAATTCAAGATGTAAAGCCAAACGTAATAGGAAGTTCCGAACAACATACCTCTTTCAGTTTTATCCGACCGGGATTAACGCAAACATCGTTCGCATTCAACGGACCAAGCTCCCATCAATCTTTCGCATCTAGCATCGGCAATCCTCAGCTGGCGCAAAAAGTTTTGCCAAGTTTAGCACATATCCTTGCCTACAGAAATCCTGGCTTAGGTTCGTGTTTAAGAAATGCTATATTCAATTTTTTTTATTAAAACAACAATATAATTGTATACATGTATAATTTTTACACATTAAATTAAAGATAGAAAAAATTAATTTTTGAATAAATTTGCGACGAGTTGACAGAAATTTTTAATTATAGGATATTATCCACTTGGTTCTATCGCAAATGGAGCGATTCCGCAACAACCGACTTTTGCAGCATCCGCACCATTAGCTTATCAGGCCGTTGCAGATCCCGCTACTGTATTAGCGTATCCGCAACAATTACAACAACCTCAAGCATATTTGCATGCATATCAACCGAATACTGTTTACCAGTCGCAATTAGCGCAATTGCTTGCTCTTAGACAGGCGCAGCTCGCGCAAACTCAACAAGGTCAATTACAAACGGTTCAGCCAGAGCAGGTAAATTTTATATTAGAAAAAAATGAAAACGTATGGAAATTAAAATAAATTCGCATAATTTTAATAATATCGCATTAACTTTTTTCCGTCTATTTAAATTACTAATAAAATTGTTTATTTGTTGCTATTAAACTATTTTGAAAATAATGATAATAATTAATCATTATAATAATAAATTATATTAATAAATATAATAATAATTATATTAATTATAATTATGTATATGTAAGATATGTTAAGTATGACTTTTGTTAATAGTAACTGTACATAGGTGCCTGAACAGATTCAGTTACAACAGCGACAAGAGCAGCAACCGGAACGGCAGCAAAATTTGTTAGGACTCGCTTATTCGTCTGCCCCATCAGTGGCACATGTAAAGGTTTCTGGGAATGGATACAAGTTCAATTTCTAATGCTTCTAATGATATATTTATTGCCACATATTGTATATAATATTCTTGCTATAACAGAAATAATTCTTATATTTATATAATTTCTAAAACATATATAATGCAAAACATATAATCGCACTATTATATTTATTCCAAATAGATATTATAAATAAGAAAACTGATACTTTGCATACTTAATTGTACAGCGATCAAGAATGATATTTAATAATCAATCATTCATTGTAACTATTTCATGGAAATAAAATTGATCAATCTAAAATATGTCGACTTCTTTCTTCATTGTTAACAAGATTCTCAAGTTATAGTCGCGATATGAAATATCTTATAATATATTATCGATTGAAGTGTTCTACAAAAAAAATATATCATTGTTAATTCAAAATGACAAAAATTAACCCCAGAAGGCCCCGGGGGGATTCGAACCCCCGATCTCCTGTTTACTAGACAGGCGCTTTAACCAACTAAGCCACGGCGCCTTTGAATTTTCCTTGAAAATATTAATTTCTTCAGCAGTTGCTCCATATTTAAATTTAATTATGTCAGCTGTCTTTTTATGTTATGTCAAAATCATATTATTAATATGATAAATAATGTAGCTATGAATTAGATTAATTGGATTATTTATGATTAATAATGAGAACATAAGTATAAGGATCATAAAAGATCTTCAAAACGTAAATGGGATTGCAATTATGAAATAATTGTGTTATCAAAGCACATTAAAAATGGCACACAATGCGAATACAACAATACAGTACAAAGCTTAATTTAAACAATAAAATATTTTAGATACAAAATATTAATAAATGAGTAAAGAAATAAGTAACAAAAAATCAAAAAAAAATTCTCCCCGACGGGGAATCGAACCCCGGTCTCCCGCGTGACAGGCGGGGATACTAACCACTATACTATCGAGGAATTTTTAATTCCGTATTAAAAATTTGTAATATATATTTAATTATACTAAATATTTATAATATATAAATATATATTTTAAGGTTTTACATAAATATGCAAAATATTTAAAACTAAATTATAATTACATTTTAATTATGTTATATATTATGATTTTATATATAATTGCATATCATAAAACTGTGTCATAATCCCATGTTCACGAATAAACACAATAAGGGTGAAAACAAAATAACTGTGTTATTTTCTGCCTTTTCTTATATATATAATATTTAAAAAAAATATATATATATATATTTTGACAAAAAAAATTACCACACTTTCCGCAGTCGGTAGGACTCGAACCTACGCTCCCAGAGGGAATCTGATTTCTAGTCAGACGCCTTAACCACTCGGCCACGACTGCTACGTGCACATATTCGTACAAACTAAAGAACCTGCGTACGGATAAACTAATTTTCACATAAATTTTATACTTATAACATGATAATTAATAAACGTGATACGTAAAATATTCTGATACATTAAAGCTTTCAAAGTTTTAAAAAATAGAGAGAACTTTATACATTCGGTATTTTTTTAGCCCTTTGTTCAGGGCAATTTTTATATAAAAGATAATAATCATCAATTTATTTATTGCTCCTCGTTAAATTATTTTAATAATTTGTTATGCACGAGGAAGTGATCTTTATGCGTGAAAAAACTACCTCAGACGGACGCGTTTAGATTAGGCGCGGGTACGAGGGATAGGATATATACGGACGATATGCGTCGCGCACATACACGTTAATCGATTAACCTATTCTTCGCGAAGGTCCCGTATAGCGCAGAAGCGTGGTGAACCCACCGGCGGGCCCGATTGCCGTCGATTGTCACCCCAGTCTGCCCGGCTTGGCTCGGTGACGAGCACGTGGTGCGTGCTCACATCCCGCATGCGAGCACCACGGTATCCGAGCAGCACGTGGCGACAGGAGCCAATACGAGACGGCCCGCTCTCCCTACGTTGAACAGAGTTTCGCGCGGGTTGTCTCGCCGAGCCCCTCCTATTACCAGGAGAGCACGCCGCGCGAGGAGGCTGATCCTCCAGGGCGACCCAGTCGATTGCGATGTTCCGTCATACCTTGACTTTCGCCCGTGAGGAATTTTTTCAACAGGAACGCATGCGGCCGCCCGTAATTTCGTGACGCCACCGATAGAAGCGCTAGTGTCAACAAGCTGCCGGCCGATGTGTGCACGCACGATTATGTATAGGGTGTATCGCGAAGTTACACGAGGACGTGATTCCGCGCACGATGTGTTAGAAGAGCGCGTGTAAGCGCGAAATAATTTGTTACGGCTAACATCGAGACGATTTACGACATGTGACTACGCAACTGTCAAAAAGAAACATCTCTGTTTTTAATATTTATGACAATATGAATATATTATGACAATATGAATATAATAAATTTTTTATAGATAATATATAATTGTTTAAATTTCGACATAAACCGTGAAAGTGTGTAATAGAAGCAAGAGATATGCAACAAGGTTCTTTTTTTCTATAACAAGAGAAAAAGAACTAAAGGGAATTATTAAACCTTAAAATTTAAAAACTTAAGATTTCAACGAACTCTTATTAAATCTAATAATTAATACTTTAATTTATTTTATTCGCGACTCATAGAATTGCACAGATTCATCATCTGCCGCTTCGTTCGCGATTCACGGACATCGTCGCTTGCTCTAACGCCGCGAGTCACCCTGTATATATACATACATACACATCGCCCCTTTTGCAGCTGGCGATCCCCACTTCGGCGCGCAATGGCTTTAATTTTAGGGGAAAACGTAATAACGTTCGATCCACATTTGGGATAACTATCTCGTCCCTGTGGGAGGCGTGATGACACACATACGATATCTATAATAACGATTTAACGCAGCTCCCAAGAAACCGTGGAAGCCAGCGAAGCCAGACGTCGCCGGCGTCGAGGGGGGAGAATCGCCTCGTATTATTAATGCCGATTTTGGGGAAAAACGGTGTCACTGTCCCGCGAAGACGGTCCGTCCTGGCGGCATTCAGGGCGGCTACGATGCAGCCGTGGAACGCGACGTCGCGCGGGAATCTCCGGGACGGGCGGTCGCAGAGGCCGGCGCGAACCGCGTCGTCCGGGCCACGGGCCCGCTAGCCCTGCCGAAATTTCCGTCCACTCCGGAGTCAATGAACCAATAAGCAGTGGAAAGAGATCGCCGTGGACCAATGGGATATGGCTGAGTCGTGGCCGCGCTTAGGGCCCGCGCGGCTCTTCCTCAAAATTGTGTCTTTCCGATCCACGGCGAACAGGAGGAGACGGGAGGTGCGAGCGCGAACGTGGCCGTCGTGTTCGTCGCCACCGGGCGCCTTCTGCGAGCTCCTGCGTTCCTGCTCGTCGCTCGGTTAAATTGTTGATTATGTCCATTCTGCCCGTTGACTGCAGATTACCGTGCGTGCCACGTGTAAATTAGCGTGTGGAGAACAAGCGGGGGAGGAACACGATGCGCCGAGCCAGACGCCTGCTCTTGCCTCAAGCTTGTCTCTCCAATGATTTCGTTATCAAGAGCATTCGAGGGGAGTCGCTTGTACGACGTGGCGCATGTCTGACAATCATTATGATATATATTTATGATATATAATTATATTGCGTAATAGATTGCTATGTCGAATGAGTAGAGATATTATCTAAAATTAATCTTTTCTAATTACCTTGGACATCCGTCGATTGGAGCATTGAAATTAGAAGTACATGGATAGTTGTATCATTTACTATTCCATAAATATGCTAATAAAGAAGTCTTCACCTTCCACTTATTGATTATTTACGTATCTTGATGCAACTATAATTTCAATCTTTAATCTCGAAGAATAATCTCTGCAACATATGTAACAAAATATAATATCGCGCATTCGACAAAGTATGTAAAAGATCCTTACTTTAATTATCAATTGATATCGTGTTATTATCGCCCGCGATATCCACATGCAATCCTGTTGAGCGAAAAGCATTTCGGACGAAAGTAGGTACCATAGGTAATACAAGAACGTCCACAGCTGATCGTGAGAGTTCTTCGCTTCGCGTGCTACCCTGGCACGAGGAGGGGCTAAATGAGACAACCCGCGCGAATGACGCTCAACTGTACGAGAGAGGAGAAAGGACGCCGTTCCTGCTGCCCTGATAATGTACGGCCTATGTGCGGGATGTGAGCACGCACCGCGTTTCATTGCGGTCAAGGAACGGCCGTAAATGTGCCGCGACGACACTTTTCCGTCTCATGCGTGCACAAAAAAAAAAATACCACTTCATCCCTTCAAAACACGTGTTTCCACATGCTTCGGTCTACTTTTTTTCCCCGCCCACGCGACAGATTGCGATAAATTCGTGGTCGCAGCTGTAACAAGAGTAATGTTTCTTATGAAAATTTACGTAACTGTGAATTCATTTTACGATGACGGATGAAAATTATTTCGCTTTGCCCAAGACTTTATTTAAGAGCTATAAAAATTCGCATCCTTCGTGAGCGCGATATTAGCTTATTAAAAAAAAAAAAAATAATGAAATACATGTAGAACGTGAGATGTATCATCTCTCGCTTCTGTATTTCGTCTCGACAAAAGTTTTACCGATCTTTTGACCCCGACGTGATTTGAACACGCAACCTTCTGATCTGGAGTCAGACGCGCTACCGTTGCGCCACGGAGTCTAGTTATATCGGCATCTTTAAATCGATAACTAGTCTTTCCGTCTGATAGACTATCCGATTTTTCATAGCATCTGATAACGAGTTTTGTTTAAAATAATTATACGTTATAAAAAACTTTAAATAAAATTTAAAAAAATTATATAATAATATATAAGAATAAAAAACCTGTTTTCTCTTGTTTTCTCGTTTATAAAAAATAGTAATTAATACAGCATCTATATAAAGTTTATAAGTGTAATAATAAATTTAATAAATTGTCATATATCAATAATAATAATTTATATAATTTTTTTAAATATACATATAGTGAGAAATATTTTTTCAAATGTATCACACGTTATAAATGTGTATATATATATATATATATATATATATATATATATGTATGTATGTATAAATAATTATAAGAAATATGTGTTATTTTATACTCTTGGCATTTTTAATTGACTCATTATTTTAAACAATACTTTACACGAGATGCAATCTAAAGTATATGTAATAATTATATGTGCTGTATTAATTATAATAATGAGTAGGGTATAATATGTAATATGCAGTAATAATAATTTATATACGCGCCTGTAAAATACTGTGACGTGAAATGTTTCCTGATATTCATTTACGATTGTATTAATTGATCGTTGGTTTCTCTCGAGTTGTAGAGAACGTGTCAATTGGGCGTGGTCCGTGGTAGCATCTTTTGAATGAAATCCGTATCAGGATACCACGTGGCTTCGGAGCCTTCACTTCCGTTCTCCTTTTTTTTCGATACCATGATTATTATTACATCGGCCGTTCTCCCCTTCGCCGTTTCATAAACGTTTAATATTGATTCCCGATACAGGCAGGAATGGCGAGCCCCCGACGACAACAACGTCAACAGGATCCCATCTGCTCGCAAGAGCATTGAAACTCCGCGAACAAGCTTCCGTAAGGAACATACGTTCCTTCGCTCCGTATCTCGTAGATTGGAATCTACACCTTGTTCTCTTCTCAAAGACGATTCTCGCTGCAGATAATATTCTTGTGCATCGATGATAAAATAAAAAAGAAATTCTAATATACTAATAAAAGATAAAACAAAATTAATATCTTTTTAATCGGAATATTTACGTATTTATATCAAGCCTTTGGAGCATTTTTATTTTAATCAAAAACGTATCGCGCTATTTAAAGGTTAATCTTTCGCTTAAGTAGTGCATATTTTCTACCGTAAATCTTGCACTCTCAGATTGTCGCATGTCGCAATAGGATTTCACACAAAGAGATAGATAAGTAAGAGCTACAATCAACTTATAATTTTGATTAATATTTATACGCAAAATTTACGCATCAGTAATTATTTTTCAACAGTACTCTTATCGACTAAATTTGTTACACGTTGAAAGAGTAGCCGATCGCTTCCATAGATGTCGCACGTGTAGAACTCTTAGGATTCGGGAGACATCCTCGGCGGCTACCTTCTTGCGTTACATGTACTCCTAATAGGTGTGAACCACGGCGCCGCGTGCCGACGCAACCCATTGGACCTTCGAAGGAGACGCTACCACTGCGTTTCGTTAATCGTACCCCACGCGGTCGTCGCGCAGCTCGAGTGCGAAGCCGCGAGCGTGGGGTGCGTAGTTCGCACACGCGCAATAAAAAAAAAAAGTGGCAGCGGTGGGATTCGAACCCACGCCTCCGAAGAGACTGGTGCCTTAAACCAGCGCCTTAGACCGCTCGGCCACGCTACCGTTGTCAACTGGTCGACTCATTATTCGACTACTTTTAACAAAATTCTCCGAAAACTGGAGCATGCTTAATATTTACTCTTATTTGTCATGTTGGAACAAAATTTAAACTGGCAAATGCAACGAAATTTTACATTTTAGGGAAATATAGCACGCAGTTTCTGAGAGAGAAATATAATTTTTTTCTTTATATATTTTTGTAGGGAAAACGTATAATTACTTGCATAATGTATATAGCCTGTGCGAGTTTGAAACGTCATGCTGGACTTCTGAAATGGATGAAAAGGAGATGAAAAGTGTGATAATTATTTATAAAAAAGTGCGAAAACATATTTTGAATCAGATCTCAATCGCTAATTGGTCATCGTCGCATTTGCGTCAGCCAGCATGTGTCGCCCTGTAGACACGCGATAGATTGCGTTCCAGTCTGAAGTAAGTGGTGAGTAAGTTTCCACATATATAGAGGCGCCCCCACATTCACCAACATGGATGCGCGTCTGTCACGTATATATACGCAGCACGAGCGCGATGGAGAACACTCTTTTTGTGCTTCAGCTCGAGTCGAGCTTGAGAAAAGCTGAGGGACGCAAAATTTCGGAGAAGAAACGCACGAGTTACGCAAATCCGCCATGCCTGGACGCCCACTTTGGCAGGTACGTGACGCGTTATTTTTTAAAATCGAAACAAAATGTATACGAAATACAATATCATATCTCTTTTTTTAATCATATTTATCATCACGTTTTAATTAAATTGTTCGCATAATCAAGCATTTACTCATTGCATTTTATTATACATATATCGGGGATGTATATTTTATCTCGTATTTTCTATTATCGTATTTTCTAATAATTGAAACGTTATCTCTTTCTCTCTTTCTCTCTCGTGATTAGTCAAGTTCATTATCATTGGTTAGTTGGCTATATATTATACTAATATTATTTATCCTATGTGTAGTTCATATATTCTAGAATTGCTCTTTAAATTAATCTTTTATAGAGATCGAAATGCTTTATAAAACATTAATTAAATTATATATTATAAAAGTATATAATATTGAACAATTTCATGATCCGTTATTATATTTTTAATTTTCTTACTTGGATGTGATTTTTCATTTATATTAATGATGCTCATATATCTCTTTCCTTTATAATGAAGATAATATTCTATACATAATAACAATATAAATATGTGTAAAGATGGAGGAGTATTAAGAAATTTAAAAATATTTTCTTTTCCATAAATTAATAAATTAAAAAAGAAAAAAAAAGACTAAAATTCTATAATATTATTATTTGCAATATATGTATGTACATATATAATATTATAATATATCAATATACATATGTAATATTATAATATATCAATATACATTTTCGTAACTTCTTAAAATATAAATTATAAAAAAAGTTGCATGTAAAGTTAAAACTCACTTATAAGCAGTACAATTAATACGACGAATTATGTTTTATTTAAATGCAATTGAAGCGTTATAAAATTGTGGATAATAAATAAGAATTTTCCATATATTGCGCTTATATATTTTTAACAGTTCTAGCATTTAAAATAATGGCTTTTCTATTTATATACTCTGACTCAGTACGTCAATCTGCGAAATTTTTGTAAATCCGTACATTAAAGCGCGTCTAATTCGGGAAACATTTTTAACACCATGAATCATCATCCAAAATTTATCGTTATTCATGTTTCTCTTACCAAAAATAAGCAAATAATCCTCAAGCAATATCACATACTGTCATAAAATAGAGAAATGTGCAAATAATCGTCTTTTAGTATTAAATTTCAGAATAGTAAATCTTTATGTAGCATTTTATGTATCATCTTATGAATCTATAAAGTGTAATAGTGAATAACGCGATAAAAACATGATAATACTTATGAAAACTTATTCAAATGAAATACGTTATTTAATAATTGTTAATAAAATACTCTGAGACACAAAAATTATTTTTCGCAAAAATCGATTCTGTTACGGAAAAATCGATTCTGTTAAATTGATATGGAACCATGACCAAAATCTAATGGCTGCTGTATATGTCGGTGATCCAGAAATAAACCGAAAGGCACTCGGATCTGCCAAGGAAAGCAAAGTTATATGAATTAAACTTTACTAGAAACATATGGGAACGCGCGTGCACGAGCGTTACCTTTCGCTAAAAATCCAGAAAAGTGTGTCACGATGACGCGATTGCAGTGCCTAATTTATTTACAAACAGTGAATATTTTTATATCTGCGTGGGTGCAAAAAGATAAACAAGACAGTACGAAAGTAGACCATAGCAACGCGTAAGAAAATTTTTTACTCTCATTTAAATTATATTTAATATATGTTTAATTAAGTGTTTAATTGTATGTATAAAAATTACAATTAATTTTTAATAATTAATATTCATATATTATCCTATCAAAACATATATAAGACAAAAAGACAAATTAAATTTTGTTCGAAGAGCAATAAATTATAAACTTTATATTAGTCATTGCAATTCACCTCAACAATATGCTGATTCAAAAAGATTTATTATCCAAAGATTAACTTCATTAAAATGGATTACTAGCATATGAGTGAAATGGTCATCGTGAATATTGCGTGAAATTGGCTTAGTCCCAAATTGCAATGTCGGTATTTCTTGCATTGCTTCCTTGTTTTAATTGCTTATATTACTTCCTCGTTTTAATTGCTTTACATGTTAGTTAATCTATATTTCAAAAATTTATTTATATATTTATATAGTATATAATTTAATACACATCTTAGAGTTATAATAAATTTTATTATAGTATACATATAAACACAATTATAATGTATCCATATACATATACATATAATATATATGACAGACGACTATGTATAACTTATGAAAAGAAACATTATTGTTTTTTGAAAAATTATATATATAATTTATTTATTTAGATGGAAATTGATATGTCTTTAATATTACGTTTGTATATTGCAAATAATAACAAAAGAAACTTTTATTTAATTTATCAATTTGTAAAAATAAGATGTTGATACAATCGAATTAAATTATATAATTTATGAAATTGTTTATTGAAAACATTACATGAGGTTAACGCTGGTATTATAAATCTTAACTGTTTTTATAAATATTTTAAATTTATAACTCTCTATTAAAGATTTTTTATGAAAAATAGTGTAATGTATAGAATTGCATGTGTATATATGTATGTATGTGTGTGTGTGTGTACGTATGTATTTATGTATGTATGTATGCATGTATGTATGTATATATGTATGTATGTATGTATATATGTATGTATGTATGTATGTATGTATGTATGTATGTATGTATGTATATATGTATGTATGTATGTATGTATGTATGTATGTATATATGTATGTATGTGTGTGTATGTACGTATGTATTTATGTATGTATGTATGCATGTATGTATGTATATATGTATGTATGTATGTATGTATGTATGTATGTATGTATGTATGTTTGTATGTATATATGTATGTAAGCATGTATGTATGTTGTGTATGTGTGTATGCATGTATGTGTGTATATGTATGTATGTACATATGTATGTATGTACGTATTTTTATATGTGTATGGTAAATTAATGTAGTATATAACAAGATATAATTATATACTTTTATATATATAATTATATGCATTTAATATATTTAACATTTTATTTAAAATCAAGCAATTTATTTTATCATTATTTGAAATATATGAATCCTCAACCGCGAATACATTTTTATTCATGTATTTAGTGTGTAATTGTAAAATTGTAAAATTTGTTTATGTAAGTGTATACATGTAAATTTGAGAGTAAAATATGATTTTATAAAGCGCTTTTTTACATGTCATTAATGTGCGACGGAAAAAACTTATATTTACATTTATATGCAAACTACAGCCATTATAAATTCATATAAAAATATATTCTTGCAGGACTAAAAAGTTAATATGTTTCTATTATCGATATTTGAAAAAAGATAAAGCATTAGCTGTTAAATATCAATAAATGTTGATTAAAAAATAATGATTAAAATTATTAAATATTTCAGAGATGCATATATATGACGATGTAAAAAGCAATTTACTTATAACATAGAGATAATCAATATAAAAATTTAGTCTTATTTATACCAATATTAATTATGATAATAAAAGGTATATAAATATTATTTATTATCAAATTTAAAAATTTAATGAAAGTAATAGAAAAAAATTTTAAAAATATGTCAAAAGCTTAATATTATCTTCACATTTTTCCGCGTGATTAAAAAATGCGATTTATTTTAAAGTTTTTTGTATCAAATTCGTGTTTTATAGCCTAACCAATTATTATATCATTTAATGCATTATGTGCATTTTTTATTTTGACATATGTATAATTCGCTTCCATAAAAAATTTACATATGTCGAGTATTTCCAAAGCCACCGTGGCCAGCTTGACTAGCACCCTTATTGTAACCCATTTGAAGATTCAATTGACCTTCGCTAGCACGAAGCTGATCCTCAGTGAAGGTTCTCTTGTTCTCTTCTGCCATCTTCGGTCCTAAACTTGGTCCATTCCAATCATGTTTCTGAGTCTGTTTTATTGATGAAAATTAATCAATTAAATTTCATAAAAAAATAATGAGAGTTGTAAATAGACTATACGAAAAATATAACTGTTGTGTGTCATTTTACATTCAATTGTGTGTTATTTCTATAAAATAAGGGAGATTTTTTGCAAGCTTTACTTTTTATATTTTGTAGATTTAAAGTACAAAAAATAGAAAGAGTCGAATATTTTCTACAAAAATAAAAATATAAATACGAAAGTTTATTTTCACCGCACATATGTTTTCATATTTTTATCATAAAAAAAAGATATGTTGGAAATAATAAATTAATTCTTAATTACTATATTTACTTGTGAATAATTAATTAATTGAATACTTACAAGTCTACCCAGTGCATATAGACAGAGAGTGACTTGAGGGATGTTACGTCTTTCAAAGAGATCCGCAGTTTGAAAAATTTCTTCTTGCGGTACACCGTAATTTTTAATCGCCGCCTGGAATCTGTGAGGCAACGAATACGCATTATAAAACAATTTATTAATACAATTATTATGTAAAATTAAAATAAATTATTAAATTATTATTCAAACAAATTATTATGTAGAGATAAAAGATTAGATATATTATATAGAAAGAAAGAAATGAAAGAAACACGCATTAGAATAATTTGATGTCTCTCACCTTTGAATATTTTCCATAAGTTGAAAATTAGTGCCTTTAGATTGAATCTTCTTAACCGATCCGGGTGCAAGTTTATTAATTAGGTTGCAAAGAATCACACCATCTCTCAAAATATCTTCGTAGTTTCCAGAAGGGAGTTTCTCACCCAATACAGCTTCGATCCAAAAAAGAACTTCAGCTTCCTGTTCTTTGTTGCGAGCCTGAAATATAGATAAAATATAATTATATACAAATATAAATTAGTTTTTAAAAAGATACTAATATACAATTATTTTATTATTTTTTATTTTATTACGAGAATTTAGCTCTAAAGTGCATTTTTACACAAAACGTCGATCGTATGCATATTTTTCTGGATAACTTAAAAATGGATATATCAAAAATAGATCGCGGCGGTGTAGGATTACTCGCACGTAAAGTCCAACATCGAAAATAAAATACGACGTCTGAAATCTTGGCTTTTACGAAAACCATCAAATAACGATTGAGTTATCAGATACTTGTTTTGCTTGCATTTATGTACATTATATATTGTATCTTGATTCATACGTTAAATGGATTGTCTTTCGAAGTGTAAGAAAGTCTTAAAAAAAAATGTAATTTATTTATGAATTATATAAATCTTTAATGAATTATATAAATCTCTAATGTAAATCTCTAATGATAGTTTTAACTATATATTATTTTTAAATATTTTAAGCAAATAAATATATAAATCTTATACATGAGAAATTCTCGAGAAATAAATAATGAGCATCTTAATGGCTTTTATGCTCTTAGAATTTCTTAACATTTATATGATTCGATTTATGACTCAAACAGCTGACTAACGCAAGTGAATCTGGCACTATTCAGTCAAAGCAATAAATCAATATTTATAGCAAAGTTAAATTACAATCTTTTGAAGCCACGATTTAAGACTGCGCGATAAATATCGTAGTCATCGTATAATAGCGATTTCTTTCACAAACTTTCCGACTTTCGCTCAACCATGTGATATTTTGGGAAGAATGATGTTATTCAGATATATAATGGACTTGTGCAATTTGTAATAACATCGTGATCGCGGTTTCGAAAGCACATATATAACAATTTCGATAAACTTAGCCAACATGTATAACATCGGTTTGAATGATGAAAGTAACTCTAATTGACTCTAATTGAGTGCAGAATGTCTACGATATGTTACATGACTGTGAATAAATGCGCGTTTACCGTGATTATTTTGGATATTACAATTTTAAAGCAATAATATATTATATTTATTAATAATAATGGCAAGTATATATTATCATTAGAATATAAAGCTAGATTAAAATATATAAAAAAGTGATAATAAAGATTAAACAGACGTTGAATAACAAAGATGTATTTTTTTAAATAAATTGCATCAACAAATTATAATATAATATAAGGCGCGATTCAAGATGTCTTAAAAATGACGAAAGTGAAAAGTGAATTCTCATTTCATGATATTAGCCATATAATTAATAAATATATTCGAATTCACTGCATTACGAATTATATGAAATCTTTTTACTTCTTATCTACATGTTAGACATGGTCGGGGCAATGTGTTTCTCGTCGCATCTATTCCGGATGATATTTTAAGCTCCATTTTCAAAGGGAGCAGCTTCCGTTCCGACGAATGCGGTCTCACCGCTTCCGAGGATGTTTTGCGAACGTGACGCGCAATGTCGTAGTAAATCACTAAATTTAAAGTTAAATTGGATGGGTCCGTATGATTCGCAACACCGTGAATTGGCTGGCGACAGATCAAGCCGCACACCTGTGCTGAAGACGCATTACGACGTATCGTTCGCATGAATTGGACATTATAATTGAGCATACATCTCCCACGCATATAGGACAAAATTTTAAATTACGTTGATGTTAAATTAATTATGTAAATATATATATATATGTGTGTGTGTGTGTGTAGTTTATATAAGTAATATAACAAAAAAAAATCAATTTTTATAACTATTTTGATTAACGTTGTCATTGCTTATTTACTTCAAATCAAATACATAATATGACAAATTAACACAGATGTATTAATTTAGATAATACGTATAACTATAACTTATATTAATACAATAACTTGAATATTAATGTAATATTTTTGAAAAATAATTTATTATTTTAGAGCAATAATATAAGTTGGATAAAATGCAAATATATCGTAATCCCCTTTTAATTAAATAATTATTAAATTCCTGTGCATTAAACTATACTTGAGAAATCACATCTAAATTTATTAAAACTGAGCTCTCATCGTTAAGTGTTATCCATTGATATTTTCTAAATCTGTTTTATTTCTTGGGATAACGTTTAAAAGTCTGCATTGCATAATGTTATTTATGTTCGGATATAAATACATCAGATGCGAAGGAAAGAGAGAGAGGGAAAAAGATATATCAAAAGAGAGTACTGACGTAAAACGATGTATCATGCAGAATGATGAATTAGATCATAACTATAAATATGTTAAGAATATATCCATATGTTAAAAATTTCGGGATTTAATAGTAATTGTAGATGGTAATATCGCTACACATAACTGAGCAATAAAAATTATATTTATAATTTTTAATTGTATTTATAATTTACATTGATTGCATATATTTCTATCTAATACATATACTTTAAATTATTTTTTCATCTCCTTTTATAAATAACATTAATTGTTACATGAATTATTTTTTTCATAAATAAAAATTATGTTTACATTTTATTAAAGCATATGGTTTAATTGTATGTGTATACATGTTTGCATAAAAAAACATACATGTATATTTTTCATTAGAAATATTAAACTGGAATCAAATCACGATTAATTATTAAAACAGGAATAAAAAAATAGCTGTTTCCGAAAAAGAACATACCGGCATTTTGTTGCTATGTCGTTTCCTCGACAGCGATGATAGCTTTCCTGAATAGTGTGACTTTGAAACTTTGAGTAGAAACTAAATCGGACGCTGCGCGTCGCGACGCTATATGGCGTCATCCCCTCCGTGTATCCTTCCTGCCGATATTCAAGCAACGAGTGCTTTTGGCCCGTTGCCTAGTTTTTGGATGGGTATTCCCACACCCCCGCTCGTAACCAAATCTTGACACCGCGGCCCTATTTACAAGACACGTTGTGATCTTAAATTAAATTACAATTCACACATTCAAACAAACGATTGCGAGAGAATCATCTGATATTGTCAATACAATATTTGACACTATATTTTATACATGGAATATGAAAGAGAGAGAGAGAGAGTAAAGCAAAATAATAATATAAACAATAATTTTCTGGTAAGAAAATATAAAATAAATATAAAAAATAACGATTAATGATTGAAAACTTCTTAAATAATTTTATTTATATGTTCTATATAATATTACACGAAAATATCATATGTGAAATTTATTGCAAATATTAATGAACGTTTTAATAAAAAGGATTTTAAAAAATAATTTTTTTTAACAAAATTATTTTGATCTTAAATGTCAGTCACAGAAAGTTTCCTTACTGACACACAGCTGCGTGGCATCTGATGTCTATTTTTAGCATCTGTATACATTATGCGTGTTTTATAAAAATTTTTTTAATGTTTAAATTTGGATTTATTAAGAACTCGCAATTTAATTTACAAACAATTTGAACCGCAAATATATTTTAGTTCAATGACCCACTTCTCCATGAAGTTCTTAACCGACACTTAATTTAGATCATTAGCTGTGAGTTCATTTTCGTGTTAAAAAATTTCATTTTCAAAAATATTTATTATTGTCATTATATACAATATACTCTGACTACATATATTACAACCTAAACACGAAAGTTTAAATATTAGTTAATTAGCTAGCAGAATATATTTAATTATAATTCTTATTGAATCGTGAATCTAAATAAGAAAAATAGAAAATAAATAAATAAAAAAATCAGTGCAACACAATAAATAAATATAACTTATTGTTAGAGTTATATTTTACGAAACATATACGAAATATTATGAAACTTTTGGTATCATGCATTATAATCCTGCATTACAACTGTGCATGCAGAAAATGACAAATCGGTGAAAAAATTAAAACAAGTGGGTGTATTTCGCACAAAAGTACAGTTCAACTTGCGTGGACATTCGCCAGATGAAAACGCCGATACGTAAACGTCGTAATTTTTGGATTCTGGCCACTTCGAAGGGTGAGACCACCGCCGAGTTTAGATTTTATCAATCATCGCCATTTCCAAGTTTATTCTAACACAACGAATCTGCGTAGATGTCTGGAACGATTTTGTGATGCGTTCATTTGAATTACGCAAGAAAACATGGTTTCGTTAGTAAATGTGGTACATCATCGATAATCTCTTTAGAAAATACCACGATTTCATAAAACATTTTGTAATATATCTTTTTAAAAATCTTCAACATTTTGTAATATATCTTTTTAAAAATCATCAACATTGACATAAAAAAATATCCGATATAATAGACTGAAAAAAATTGATATGCGAAAAAAAATTATATATCTCTGACATCTTATATATCTTTGACATTCATGAAATAAGATGTGAATTATATTGTGAATTATTATTATTCAATTCGATAATAATTATTATCAATTTATAATCATTAAAATAATTGAGCATATTACATTAGGTTTATTTTTCACTTAATCAATATTAAAATATGTTTATGTTATTTATTTAAGTTTATATTAACTCGGATGTGCAATTGATTTGCACCGAAACTGCCATTGTTATGTATAAATTATAAATGTGTAATTAAATTATTATTTACGTCATTGAATTATTATTTAAATCATTGATTTATCTAACTTTTAATTCATACTATTTACATTTACATACTATTACATACATTTACATACTATTATATTTCAATTTGTTACAAATGTAAGTTAATGCTAATATAATTTTATTAGCATTATCAATTTTAAAATTGCTTTTTATTATTTAATTTCGACATAGTTATAAAATATCAATCACTGTATTTGTTAAAATTATATCATAGAAATACGTGAGAGATATTCAAGAAAAAAATAATCTTTTTCTCTTTCTGTCCCTTTCTCTCTCTCTCTCTCTCTCGAACGCTGACACTATATCGGACATGTGCTTCCTCGAGCGCGCACTTTCTGCCGTCATGCTCTCCTGTTCAGATATATTTTCTTGCAAATATCCAGCTAGTCTATCATTTAAATTATGCGTTAATAATGGCAATTCTTATTCATTTTGTGGTGGCGCATCGGAGTTGATCAGAGTCACATGTTTCCGATGTGCGCCATGTAACTCCTGTCTCTCCCTTCGCCTCAGCTGCTTTTAGTTTGTGAAACGGACGCTATGTGGAGCTAATATAGAAGACTTTCTCGATGTTAAAATCCTTTCTAGCCACTATGAATACTGGTCCGGCTGAGCATATCGTCATCTTTGCGCAGAGGCGATATCGTAACCAATGAGGTTCTACCGAGGTGCGATTATTGCTAGTTGAAAACTTTTACCAATACCCCGCCATGACGATGTGAAATACCATCGGCTACGGCAATTTTTGAAAGTTTCTGCGGAAACTGATAATATTTATACCAAGCATAAAATTAATCAACGAGTGAAATTTTTTTTCTTTTATTCTCTTTTCATTCATACCGTGCATTACACACACACAAACATTTTATTAGACTTATTCTTTTCGCAAGAAGTAATTATACATGCACGTGAATACGAATTTTTCATTATCTTCTAATTAATTATTTATTGTTAGAAAAAGATTAAATTTATCTCAATTATTAAATTTATCATGTGTAAAAGAAGAGAATTGACACTCTGTATTTTTTCAGAAATTATTTTTATCTTTAAAGTGTTTACGAAAGATAAAATTAGACTTCATGACTAAAATTAAATGTCTATATGAGAAAAATATAAAATAAATAATATCCATCATTCTGTCTTTGTGCCAAGCGTCACTGAGCTGTTATTTTTTTTAAGTTGTTTAGAAAAGTGCAGTTGGGTAGCATATGTCATCTTTATAACTGGAGACTGAAATTTTTTAACGTAACATTTTCTACAGAGATTTATGGTTTCTTCTTTTAAACGCAGGTTGCTGGCAAGCGTGAAGCAAATCAAGAAGCAGAAGCTCAACAATGGATCGAGACCGTAATTGGCGAAAGATTTCCATCAGGTAAGATTCCATAACAAATTAATTTAAATAAAAATTTATTTGAATTCCATACAATCAATAATTTCCACAATTGTTTTAACTTTGTTATAAAATTTTTATAACATACGTTAAATGCACGTTATTTGGATGTCAAATGATATTATTTTTTTATGTTCAATGATTATTTATAACATAACAATAATAAAATATGAAAAACATTGCACCTAAATAATTTAAAATTATTTAATATGGGATTAATATATAAAGAACCAATTTATTTTCCATTAATTAAAGAAAATTAAAATGACAATATTAAACTATATATTGCAAACTTTATAAAATACCATGTCACGTCTTAGCCAAAAATATCTTTTAGCTCTTTTTTAAAAGTTCTAAACGTAATAAAAAGTAAAAGAATATTAAAAAAATATCTATTTCTATGTCAGAATGAAATTATGTTCGTATCATATTCTCTATCGATTGGAAGAAATCTTGTTTGGATATGAAACTCTGATATGTAAGGGAAGCTGAAAATCTACAAGTTTAATAATGCTTGTATTTTAATTCATTTGAGAAATAATTATCTAATATATATACGTTGTTCTATTTCACTAAACATATAATTTACAAATTTCTTATATAATAAATAGATATAACTTTTTGAAGATGTTACACTTAATTAATTAATTATAATCTTAAATTTATCTGCTATTTTTAATTCATAATAACATTATATTATAATTATATTTTCATATAAGAATGAATGATTGACGAATCAGGAGTATATTTAATTCTTTAGAATATCTAAAAATGAATAGCTCTTTTTAATTGCTTCTTTTAATATGAATATTTTTCAAAATATCTTATATTTAAAAATAATCAATATAAATATTTAGTCTCTTTCAATAGCTTTAATAGCTATACACTTAATGATGCTACAAACATATATGAGCTCCTGTTCCGCGGAGGTGATACGAGTCTGAAAGCGTTCCGATGTTTTCATCCCTATTGGGGTGACGTTGAACCAAAGGGGTGGAAAAGCGCGTGCTGTTATCTAACTAGAATCGCATAATTGCCGGATACAAATGTCAGGTCGCGTGACGTCGCAAAGGTTAAGCTTCGTCGAGGTCAGTTCTCCCATACAGAATACACATTGTATGATACATACAAGATCCTAATAACAAATATAATAATAAATCAAATTTATTTTAAACATTTATAATTTGCAAGTATCATATATTAAATTTATATCTCACTATTATAAATTAAATTGTCGAAGCTACTTACAAAAATACATCTTTCGTATAAATACAAATATGGGAGTATAATTTACATGCATAGATACATGACATTTTAAATATAAATAATTACTTAAATATATGTATATGTAATTATTTATACATATAATTTTAACTCAGTTTTTATTCTTGTAAGATTTATCGATAAATGTACAAGCGTTAACGATGAGCTTCTAGCGGAAAAATTATATTCCGAATAAAACTTGAGGTAAACAAGAATTTACGAAATGATGTCAAGGGATTTTTAAGGGATCACTGAACTCTGTCCCTGAACTACTAGGGGTAGTTTTGCCTCCTGTCGTATTATATTCCCCTGGCAAAACGCGCGCTTTGTTACGTCATTGCGAGCCACCCTATCGAACCTGCCTCAGCAAACAACCCCCGATTCGACATACATCCCTGATGTGACAAACACGCCAGGCGTCGACGCAATCGACGTTGCTTCGCGTACGTTTGCGCGACACTTTTTTTTACTCGTTTCACATTTCTGTTATAAATATTCCAAATATAAATCATGGAGATCGAAGAAATATCATAAAATCTCATTTAATAATATTATATTATTCTTAAGTGCCTAAATATTATGTGTAATCAATTTAATTGCCAATTTGTAAATAATGAAATGCTATTTTTAAAATGTATAATTAATAAAATAAAAATATATCATGAATTTATCATTTAGCTTTTAAAAAAACATAATTTTAATATTGATTTAAATAAATAAATGATCTATTTATTTATTGAAAAAAAACAAATAATCAACTTAAGATGAGATAGTTGAATATATGTTATAAAAATATATTATATGATTTATTATTTTAATATATCAATTTTGTTACCACCAATGGTAACATTTTGTCCGTTAAGATTAAATATTATTATTCAAATAATAGCAAATAAAAATATTATACAATTATAAAAATTACACTTCTAAATATCTGATACGAATAAACCGAAAGATCGACTTATTAACGATTAATAAATTTTTAATGTTTCAAGTTCGGTAGTTCTTGCTGATTCGCGAGAGCTCGTCAGATATATGTTTGATCACCAAAAATCTGAACCTTTTTTTCGCATTTGCTAAGAGATCTATGAGAGAAGGAACTCGTGACATATTCAATAACACTGATTATGGCAAGTATTTAGATTTAACGACCCTCCATCCATGACTGTCATCCTGGTTGTGTCGAGGACGCGATGGAGGTGGCCAAACGACGAAACCACCCCCACTCGAGCACATGATTAATCCCCACTAGAAACCTTCGATACCTACAACAATCTAAGTGGGGGTCTCCTCGACATGCAAGAAAGCTCTCTTGAGCGAGTGGCAGCCTGGTCCCCATGAACCTTGAGCGTAAACAGACAGAATCGAATATGTTTATATAGAAAGCTAATTGAAATCTCGATAATATCTACAATAGAGAAAATTGTGTAATACAATTGATCTGATGAAAGCTTTAATAAGTTCAAATAAATTTCTTATAGGGAATAATGCAATTTTTTGTATGCGTTTATTTATTTTTTTAATATTCTTAAAAAATGTATTTTGCTATTTCACTTTTTCTCTGCTGCTTTGCTAATTTGAGAACAAATCCAGTATTCATCTTTCGGTTTCCCTGCTTACGTAACGAATCTAAGGGTGATCTAAGGGAGATTATAATACATGTCGCATAGAGCATGTTCAAGCTCTATGCGAGGATGCGAGCCGGATAGTCGAAGCTTTTGATGTTATTGACTCGTTTAAAATTGAACTTAAACGGTCGAGGTTCAATTACGTTCTTCTCGTCGCGTCCTGACCTGACCTATCCTAGACACTGTAATCCTGATGCTCGCACAACGCAAATTTGATGGGAATTTCGAGGTATCCTGCGGGACTTCCAAATACAGATGGTAGCCTGCTCCCGGAAGCTCGCGAGGCATGCTTGGCACGACCCTTGTTTGACAGGTCTCAATAATGAAATATTGCATTAGTGTTTTCATGTCGTCGATAGTCGAATACGATTGATTGGACACGTATTTCAGGGGAAATTAAATTATACTTTAAATTAAAAAACTTAGATTGATACTACGCTTATTTCAGATTTACAAAAATATTTAATAATTGAAATTTTAGAGAATTATCAAGAGAGAGGAGAGAGAGAGAGAGAGAGAGAGTGTGTGTGTGTGTGTGTGTGTGTGTAAAATAATTTATGAAGTTCTTGTTATTTAGATTGTTATAGTCCATGTATGTATGTAATATAATTCTAATATTATATTTTTATTATGCAGTAAAGATGCATTTTTTAAATATAATTTATATATTATACAAATAATTTATTAAGTTTATGTTGAAATTATTTGGAGAAAAAATATGGACATTCATTAATTAAATTTATATCACAAGAAACGATCAGAAGCAATACACGTGTTTTCCTGCGTTCAAAGTTTGTAAATGTACAAGAATTTCATATATTGGAAAATTCAATCTAATTTTAATTAATATTAGACATTTTCATACAATACAATCAATTTACTAATCATTGCATGAATTAATATTTTTTTATAGAAAAATGAATATTTCAGAAAAATGGTTGTGTCAATCAAAGTTTATTGATAAACAAATATTTAAGACACACAAAGACATCTTTATTTTTATTGATTAGAACTGACCAAGTCGACGATGCGTATTGATTTACCGTCATCTGTTCATCATGTTACGTCGTAAGGACGCTGGCATACCAGGGCCACATACAGCACTCCGGATGATCGTGCTTCTAGTGCTGCTAGTTACATGTCACCTCCGCACTTCTTTCACCTATTATCCCTGCTTTCACATACTTTCGCGTACAATAATTATTGTTTGTTGCGGGTACTTTGATCAAGCAGCGTTCATAATAAGCGACTGCAATTTCGATAAGCAATTTTGTTTATACTTCTTTTGGATATAAAATTTCATATTTTATATTAACATCTTTTATAACTTTGTTAATTAAACGTTAATGATTTTGCTGGGCATTTATTTTTCGTACCAAAAAATTATACGATATAATTTATAATATCTGTTGATTACATATATGTATAACTAAACCATATTACATTCAAAATGAATTATAATTAAATAAAATAAAATACATATTCTTTGTATTTTAAATATAATTTATATATTGTTATTTTTATTATTTTGATAAACTATTATCTATTAAAATAAATCATATTGCATTGTTGCATAATGCTCCAGCTCAATGCAATCATCTTTGAATAATCCCAGAGTGATTTACATCAATATGTGAATGCTGCTTAAAGCTTTGAAAATGTGCTTTCGAAACAGAAGAAACGTCAGTCATCTGTCCGTCACGGCGGCGTAAGTCGCTTGGGTGCACCAGGGCATCAGCAGACGTTTGAGGGATTTATAGGGTGTCCCGCCGACACATCAACGGATCGATTCGTTAAATTACGACCCTACAGTTGCGTTCCCCTCATTCGCCCTGTTTATTATCCCGTCTCTTGAATCGGATACACTCATTGTGTATTATCGAGCACGTTCTGTCGATACCTCGATAGGTCTCGTCATATGACACAACGTGACGTCACGAAAGCTCGCACCTACTAGGAAAGCAACGTCGGGCAGTAGATGAATTTATGGAGACGGCTACATTGTGTTCCATCCCGCGCGGAGGATCCTGGTAAGCTTCTCTCACGCTCGTCGTGAGGACTCGTTCGCGACACGATCCGCCGATGTATAAG